CAAAACAATGCCAAAGTTAAGAAGCACTCTGGTGAAAACTGGCTTTGCAGTTTGCACACTTTCTAGACTGCAGAGACTTCTGATGAAGAGCACTTACTGAAAGTCTTGACTGCTTCTTTGGCCTGCTCAGCAGACTCTGCCATTTTGAACTTTTGCACAGTGACTCCATGCTTGTCCAGAAGCTCCTTGCTCTGGTATTCAAGCAGATTCAGGTTCCTGACTGATGAGGCCAGGGGTGTGATTCCAACAAGCTGTGAAAAGGACAGGCATGAAAATTATGTAGCACAGATAAGCAACTGTTTTGGAAATGCTAGAGCGAATCACTTAAATCCATTAACTCCCAGTAAATACAAAAAAAACTTTCACTTTTAAAGGTTCAGTAAAAATATCTCGCTCTGGATGTTCATGGCATTGCAGCAAGCAACTGAAGATCCTTCAGCCTGACTGATAGTGTTGGATTCAGGGTGCATTACGAGAGAGAGAATGCTCCCTAAGAATATACAATTCTGAAAGTTTGTTAGTTTTCACTTTCCTGACAACTAAATGAAAAAAAAACTTCGAGAGGAGCTGACTACATCAATTAGGTACCAAACATCTTTCCAAATATTTATTATACATGCTGCATAAATCAGACACAGGTACCTTAAATGGCTTCAGAACGTGACTGTTTAATTAACTTTTCTGAGCATTTCAGTCCCACGCACAAGGGGGAAAAGCTCAAATTATTGAGCGCTCAAAATATTGAGCGTGTGACGTCAGAGGCTCCCATAGCCGTAATGCTGAGGGCTCAAAAAATTGAGCCGTTTCAGGAACACGTTTTACAAAAGCAACTCGCAACACCTAGGGAGAAATGGCAACACCCTAGGAGAATCATTAATGATGCAAAACAGATTAGGCTTTCATATTTTTCACTGCTCAAGCTTCAATGATTGGGGGAACACCAATTTATAGGTCGAAATCTTACGGCATACCAGGATGACTCAAAAACTGGCCAATATTTATGTCGAAATAAAAGTTATTTTTTGTCCATTCACGTTTTTTACTAGGGTTCTGTTGGAAAGAGCATTTTTCATACTACCCAAAATGATTGCGATTCAATTTCACATTACCCATATCGGAGAATATTTTTCATTTGGCGGCGCCGTTTGTTTATTTCGTCGCGACGTCTCCGGTCACGTGGTTGTCGTCGTCCTTGTGTTGAGGGTAAGTTTTTATCGTTTTAGTTGTACTTAGATGTTAAAAGGTACACTGAAAAGTTTGAATATGCTGTGATTTTAAATTTGGAAACACGTAAACGTCAATCAATTCACGTTTTCCTCGATTAGCGTGCAGATAAGTAACTGTCGACGAAAGTGGCGCCATCCGATATGATGTTTTGAAGGAAGGAGACACAACATATTTACGTGAAAATTTTTGTTTTTTAGTGGTCTAAGTGCTTCAAAGAGGCTGTGAATGTTTTCTTCACACAATTTTTCATTAGTTATGATGAGGTAAAAGGTAGTTTCAGTCTTAACTTTCATATAATTGACATTAAAACATGTGATAGTCCACTGCTATCAGTGATTGAGTACCTTGATATTTGGCATTTCTTATTAATTTGAATGTATTCTCTATCCATATGTCCTGATAGTAAGTGACAATACTCTGCCAATATGTTTCCATAGTTTTCACATTCACTTTCCAGTCCTTTACATAACATCATAATTTATAATCAACAAAACTCAACTCCATCATTACTTCACAACACTGACAGCATGACAGACTGACAGTCAACTATTGTGTGGGTGAATGCTGAAACAGGATAGCCATTTTGCTGACTGGCTCGCTCATATGAAATAAGATAAAAATGATCCTTTGTATCATTTCCATCTGGAGGATCGGAGTCAACGGAAAAGGAAGGCCACTTTCAAGCCTCAAGGTCTAGGCCGCCAGACGCCAGTCGGCAGTCACCACCAAATTTATAATCGATTAATTCATTATTATACTTTGAGACCCTTAGGTCACTGGATCAGCATCACATTTTCAGTTTCAATATAGTAAAGGTTTTTATTTGTATGATGTGAAATATTTTCCTGAATCAGAATTTAATTATCCCTAGGTACCTGGTAGAGGTTTTGGATATAATGCTTATTGTTGGTGTGCAGTCAGGATTTTTTGACAGGTCCAGATAGGGAATCCTGAGCAATTTTATAGTAAAGTGGTCTCCTTATAATCACCACACATTTTATCAAAAGCATTTGCAGAATTCATTCAATGAAGAATTTTATCAATGCTGCACCCATTTCTTAGACGACCTAGGCTGCATCTTTTTTTTAGTTCCTGTTGTATGACATATTTTCCGTTTTGTTCCACTGCATAAAGAAAAAAATCGTTTGAGATCACCAAACAGCTTTTCTTTTTCTGGCAGGTCTGCACAACCAAGCGGTCGCTGGCGAGGACGTCGGCCGTCTCTGTGGGTAAGGTCATCTGCTCAGCCTTTGTGGAGATCAGCAAGACGTCACTAAGATGAAGACTTCGCTGGAGCAGAAGCCGCTGACCCGTGTCCGATCGGGCAGGTCATGCTCGACGGCACGAGCCACAACTCGAACGACTCGGTGACATCAACAACATGGTGGAGCAGGTGAATGAGTTTGGCGACGTGTTGTGCGACTGCAAGAAGGGTTGTCTGCGTGTTCTGGCCGGCGGAGCGGCGACGCTGCGCAGTCTGTGCTGGCGGTGAGCAGCTGGCCGTGGTGACCGCGCGCGCCCACATGCGCCGACAACCTGTGCGGCTTCGACGGCCCGGGACAGCCCGATGCCGCCCACTATGCGACGCCGACCGCACGCCGCTACCTCGCAGCTGGTCTGCAACCACGCCGTCGCCGCCTGTAGCCCGATAACAAAACGGCTGTCTGATAATGCCGCGTGTTCTTTGTGATGTTGCTACTGTGATCGTTGCTACTGCTGGTCTGAGACTCGATGTTTCCATTCGTCTTTTACATGTCAAGGATTTGATAATGATAAGCTTAGTCCGAGCTTAGGTCGTTTTTATCATTTGTTATATGGCATATTTTGGATCAAAGCAGTACGACACTGCCTCCTGCTTTTGTGATGTATGCTGGCAAGACACAGGTTCCGGTCGCAGGTCACCCGGACCCGGTTCCAATGTGGTCGGGCTGGCATGCGATGATGTGATGTTGTTTTGCTCGTCTCTGTGTTCCACACTTGATGATGTTTGTGAATCTAAACCACATTGTATAGTATTTTTGTTTGTTTGCGGCCGATGGCCTTGTAAGTTGTAACCGTGGCAATACAGTTTTTCCTGCTATAATTCTCCAATATTCAAGGGTGGGTGGATATCTCTGTATTCACGTATTCCCTTCTCCCAGTACAGTCAAAGAATATCAATTACAGTATTCATACGGATTATTCAAGCCTTATATAATTATTTGAGGTGTGCCGAATCCGAAAGACCGATAAAACTACTAGCGGAAAATGTGACATGATGCCATGGGTTTGTGAAAAGTTTAGGTACCACGTAGCATTCCACTTCCTGCATTTCTGTTTCAACTCAGTTTAACGTATTTCAACGAACATAACATCAAAAATGGCAGCCAGTACCGGCTTCACCTGTCACGGAGAAAGCTCAAAAAATTGAGTGTAGATGCTGGCCGGCACTCAATTTTTTGAGCGCCAGCTGACTGTCGTCTGTCGTGGCGCTCAATTTATTGAGTATCGCGGTCCCGAACGACAAGTGACGCTCAAAAAGTTGAGCGTCTTTAGGGCATTTTCTTTCCAAAAACACCGATATAAATTATCACGGCGAGTGTTCGAGAAGAAACCTTGTTGCTCTCTCTTGCCATTGATACCTTATTTGGATACGATATTTGCCGTAGTGTGACGCTAAAGGCATTGTAAAATACCATCGTTTCGCCTATTCCTTCATAATGGGGCCCGCTCAATTTTTTGAGCGCTCAATTTTTTGAGCTTTTCCCCCTTGTGCGTGGGACTGATTTCACTGGTTCTGCCACACATGGAAATAACTTGCTGCTTCCTAATGCTACCTCAGTCTCAGCCCTCAGGTGAACAGCTTGGCCACAATATTTTCATTGATGAGAAGCCGCAGAATGAGGAATGTCAGCATGTTGATGGCATGCTAATAAATATGGCAATCAAATAGTATTCAGGTGAAAATCAGACAAGCCTCACAAGATAGCATATTTTAATCACTTCAACATTCCATCTTGATCTATGATCTACCCGGACTTATTCCAAAGTTTGACAATTAACGCGAGTAATGGAAACAATTATTCTATTCTGTGCATATCTAAGTTACGAGGATGGGATCCTCACTGTACATTTGGGTACATATTCACTAAAAAATTTCAACGAATCCGCTGAAATTAAATGGAAATTTAGCATGAAAACACTGGCTCAGTATGAGGAAGTTTGACGCTTTCCAAACAGTGAAACAGGTAGGTACACTGACGTCTCATGCACTCACCTTCCTGCCAAGTAGCCCCTTGCTGAGCATCCGCGGTAGCGCTGAAGCAGCCATCATTCGGAAATGGCTTTTAAAACAAAACAAAATATAATATTTGCTCCAAACACCGACAAAAAGGACCTGTGAAGCCTAAAAAAATAACATTAGAGACCGCCGAGAAAAAGCGGCTGCCATAAATGTCGAAAGAGCGCCATGAACACTTGGCATCAGGGCTACCAAATCCCTTCAATGGAAGTATCCCTCCAGACAAATTATCCATCGTGATCTTTTATCAATCAGTATCGTAATCAAAATATCGCCCTCAATGGATGAGGCATTATTTACGATATCACTAAAGTTGGCATCTCTCGTCCGCTAGTAGCCGCTGCTGCTTCCAAACTAAGTTGCTTGGTGGTCCATTTATGATGCGTCAGTTTCTTTGACAGATCTGACATTGAAGTCGAAGCATCCCGCCTCGACACGCTATTAATTTATAATCTGGCAATCAAGGCAGCTCAAACTCACACAAGATTCACTGTTGACGATGGAAATGCTGTATTACGGAATACAGTACGGAAAACGTTCAACAAAATACACTATCGACTCAGCCACGTTTCAGCGCGGCCGGAGGCAACAAAAACTAACGTCGCCAGCCAATGTGCGATGAATAACGGAACCACTGGGATGAGACGAGAGAATGCAACGCCGGTCGAGGTGATTGTCCAAGACAAGTCAAGTCGGCAGGCAGGCACCACAGGGCGGGGTCAGTCAAGAGCTCTATGCGGTCTCCATGGCAGCACCGTCGTCCCCGGCACCTACGAATAGAGGGACAGAGTGAGCCTCCCTAGCGGCACAGGTCGCTACTGCTGTGATAATAACGGCGTTTAGTAGCACACAGTACTGCATACGGAATAAGCCTTGGTGTCCTGCCATTTATTGGTTTAACGACTATCACTTGAAAGCAAAACAAAAAATGCAAATTTTGTCCCGTCAGCGAGAAAAAAAAAACGAATGGTTTTGAAATTGCTGAGCTCGTGGACCGTCATACATAGCACAGCTCAGATAGCAAAGAAAAATATTGTTCATTAAAAGAACTTGGTAGATGTCATAGTTGCAGTGCGATCGAGCAGCGGAAATCCGTACCGATTTCGCTGAACATGAACTGATCCTGGTAGTCCTTGAGGAACTGCGCCGACCGACTCTGGTCCAGAAACAGCGAGTAGACCCGCTTCACGTCCTCAATCTCGATCTGAAACATCGCCATAACATACGATCCGATAAAACAATTATATATTAGATGACATGTCACTCAGCGAGTCAATATCAGTTACCTCATAGCTGTTAGGATATCATTGCAGCTACAAGACATCTGAGAGTTTAAAAGAACCCCAAAAGCAAGAAACACAGGAGCCTGCGTGTATGATGTATCTTCAGGAAAACCTCGCTATTGCGGGGCCCGATTCAAAGTCTAAATAGACGATACATCTGCAAGACCGAAACTCGCCCGTCTTACCCCTCTCACAGCGAAAAAAAAATACGTTCTACGACACTCAGAGACTCCGCTTTCCATCGCTTGCTGTCCCCCCGCTCCCTCTCCCTTCCCAGCCGAACTTCTGCGGCTCCGTGACTGTCCCCCGTCCTCTGGCACCCTTCCCAGCCGTACCTCGGCGGCGCCGCGTTTGCGCGCCACCAGCGAGGCGAGTGTGATGAGTTGAATGGCGTATCGGAGCGACGTCTCCATGCCGATCCTGGTGAGCACGGTGAGAGCGTCATCCGCCATCTCACAGTCCTCCTCCTCACACCTGGGGGCCGGTGAGAAGTAACGGGTCAGCGCGACACGAGGTCAGGTCGTATCGGGTCAGCGTGACTCCACGCCTGATGACCGGTGGGAAATAAAGGGCAAGTACGAAGCTCAGGGTCGGAACTCATATCTGGTCAAGATCAGCTCACCTCACACCTGTCAACCGGATTTGTTCAGTACTAGGGAATTGCGACAAAAGGGAAAGAGGCAGCGGGAGGACAATCTCCAAGAAGCCAACCATGTTTAAGTGGTGAATTTTTGGCCTTCCATTATCTCTTAGCAATACGGCAACACCGATGCTCGTACCTTACAAGCGCACAGCCAGGCAAAAAGACCTTTGAGCGAAGGCGCTTCCTCATCCCACCAAATCTGCCTAAATCTCCACAACCAACCCACTTCAACGGAACACCATCCGCCCCATCGCCGCGTCCCTTCTCCCGTCGTCTCGCCCTGTCTGACCTGATTTTCAGGATCTGTTTGGTCTCGCTCTCCTGGTAGGGCCGGGTGGAGATGATCACAGTCCGGTCCAGCAGGTCGATGGGCACGCCGTGCGGTGAGCTGTAGTTGGTGCCGCGGATCCGCGTGATGCCCCGGTTGGTGGCCATCACCAGGATCGGAGCCATCTCGTTCTCCAGGGCGCGGTTCAGGAACGAGAAACACTCAATGTCCAGCATGTGTACCTGTGAAGGAGTGCGATGGTAGAATGGCGGACGAGGTCGGAGCAGCTTCGTTGTGTGATAGCAATGGGCAGAATAAAGGTAAGCATCTCTACAAAACAGATAAGACATTCTGACGAGTGACGACCATCCATTAAAAAGTAAAAATTTCACCATTAACTCTTATGCCCTCAGGCAGTACTGCATCACACCCTCACATTTCGTTCATCTCCCCTCAAACTCCATCCAGTCCAAGTCTCCGCCGGTCCCGGTACGCAGCTGAGCACGTCTAATGTCTCACCTCATCCACAAACAGCACCCCGGGCACGATTTCGGCCTTGCCCTCCTCGCGCCACTCTGCCACCTTGGTGTTTATTTGGTCTCGCACCTCAGACTTGATCTCACCCGTGTCACCTGAGAAGAACGGGGGTCAACACTCAACAGACACTGACAGACAAGGTCATTTGAACGCCTCGGCTGTGGTCCTCAGGCAAAACAAGACGACATTAGATTCAGCATTTGAATACCAATGAGATGAATCAGGAGTTGTGTTCATATGTAACCGTAGATGCATGCAATAATAGTTCGCCTACCTGGCTATTGTACCAAAACATCACAGCAAAATATGAAGCCACACACAACGCACGCACAGTCCAGTCTCAAACTGAGCCCTCAACTTGCTCTAAACCCATATTCTCTCTCCCAGAACCCACCAGAGAAGAGCGCCAGGAATCCCTGAGTGCGGCTGTTGATGACGTCAATCTCGTGCAGAGTGACCGTGTGCACCACCTCCTTGCGTTTCTGCAGCTCGCCCTCGGGACACTGGACGAAGCGCGTCTGGGGCGCTGTGGCGTCGTAGTCTCTGGCGCGTGTGAACGCTCGGCCCAGCTTGGTGATCTTGCCGGTGGCCTTGTCGATTGTGATGACGTCACCGGCCTGGGCCTGGGGGCGGAGTGTCAAGTGTGGTGTGAGGTGGTGTGTGGAGCTCAGCAGGGTGGGACGGGGAGTGAAATGATGGGCCATGTGGATGATGCGAAAACGAACACAAGTAGCAGTAAGATGGCGTGGAGTTGCTTTTATAGCAATGATCCTCTAACCCCCCCCCCCCAAAAAAAAAACTGACTGCATTGTACCCGCTAACAACTACAGCCAACAACGCATAACAAACAGCACCATTCAGCGTTCACCCAAGACCAACCACCCCTCCATTTCTCGCTCTCCCCTTTTCGTATCCATAACGATTCACGAGCGCTCCCTGCCTAGTGCCCACCTTCTCCTTGACGAGCGCGTCGATCATCTTTGTGCCGAGGTCGTAGATGGTCTCCATCTCAGTGGTCTTGAGGGTGAGTTTGCCGACCTTGGCGCCGGTGCCAGTGGCCGGCCGGTCCACCTGAATTTCCACCACCTCGCCCTCGATTATCTCCGTCTCCTCCCTGGCGGACGGGCGCACAGTGGGGCCGTTAACCAGTTTAGGGCGAATTTATTCGTAGCGTTGTTAATATTTCTTAATATGTTTTTCAAATGGTTTAAATGGGTATATTTAGGCATTTTGGGTCATCCCTGATGCTTTCGATATATTCGATAATCGAAAAAGCATAAACACACGATACATATGTATTGCATCACATGTTACATACATACACTTTGAACACTCTCACGACACGCCGCGCTGGTTCGACTCTGTCAGTCACTGCTGTCACTGCTGAACAGTCACTACTGCTGTGGCAGTCGTCGCTGTCGACATCACTGCTGTCGGTGCCGTCGTCACGACGTAGCTGATTCTCTCTCTCTCTCTCTTTCTCTCTCTCTCTCTCTCTCTCTCTCTCTCTCTCTCTCTCTCTCTCTCTCTCTCTCTCTCTCTCTCTCTCTCTCTCTCTCTCTCTCTCTCTCTCTCTCTCTCTCTCTCTCTCTCCCTCCCTCCCTCCCCCTCCCCCTCCCCCTCCCCCTCCCCCTCCCCCTCCCCCGGCGCTGCAGACCCAGGCTGCTGAGCAGCGGGTCGCTCGCCACGAGCAGGTAGCCCAGGAGGTCCGACATCGTGTGGATCCTCGAATCCTTGCGGGTGTGTCGAAGGCGGTACTGGCGGACCCGCTTGTGGGTAGCCTCTGCTGCTTCCTCAGACATCATACCGATCGGGAGGTGGCAAGACTCCACCACGGCCGCGGAGTGGCTCAGTAGCTTGTGCAGCGTGGTGGACATGTACCTCTCCACGTACAGCTCAGCCGTGCGGCGGCAGTACGCGGAGAGAGCGTCGATGTCCAGTCGGTGCAGACAGCTGACAGCCTGCAGCACCGTGCCGACCCGGTCGATCAGCTCCTGGTCGACGCCGGTGCAGGCCGCGAACTCGGCCGGCGAGCGGAAGGCGCGGCGGGCGGTGTTGCCTTCATTGGAGTTGCCGCTGCCTCCTGCCCGCGGCTCGTCCACGCGCAGCCCCATCCTGGTCCTGAAGGCCTCCTGCACCTCAGCCGGGTGTACGGAAAGCAGCAGTACGGGGCAGGAATGATCAGGTACCAATAATCGAAATCATCGTGGCCAAAGAGGACTTATTTCATACTCTCGAAATAGGTTGCGATACATTTGCCACCCAATGACTAGCTGACACACATCCTGACCCATAATAACAGGCTCGATGATTGGCTGCTGTAGACAGTGACATCACTCAATGGGCGGGACTAAAAACCACACGTCATTCCGGATCCTGTCGGGTCACGCACCGTCCGCCCCCAGGTCAGGTCACGGCGCGCGGCTGGGTCATGACCGAGCGGCGTGCCGTCGGTCATGTTTAAACTCGAGCTACCGGTGAGGCGAGCAAGTTCGAGCAGGAAAAAAAGGTCGGGCCAAGTAAAAAAATGCTGGCAAATTGCAATCATGCTAGATCTGACGTGGCGGCAAACGGCGGTAGTTGTTGAAATCTTCGGTTTTCATGAAACATCGTTATGAAAACGCTATGCATGTATTGGTTTGATTCTATCAGTCGTAACGTGCAGACGATAGGTCAGCCAGTATTGCAAGTTATCCTATCGTTTTTTAGAGACATTGGGAAGAACAATGGTGTATGATTTATATCAATTCAATATGTATTACACTATGTAAACTTGCGTTACAAAAGTCGCGTTCTTGCCCGCAAATCGGCAGGATATGAGAAAGCCAACAATTTGTCCACTTTGAGTAGTCAAATCACCCCCTAAAAGTTGCCATATGTGCAAAATTCAGGTGGTTTCATAAAATTCAGGCAATTTCCTATACATTCAGCCATATTTCAAGCAGATTTTCGAAAGTCACTTTCTTGATTAAATTCGCCCTAAACTGGCGCGCGGCCCGTCCGTGGGGCGGTGGAACTCGTCAGCGAAACTAGAAGGTCCCGAGTTCGAATCCAATCACTCATAGCGGCTTGCATGGATTGCCATGAATGAGATTGGGCCCACGACTGCAACTATACAATGAGTATAAAGACAAGGACAAATAATAAATAATGGAGAAGTTGGAACATAACCAATCAACGCGGTGGTTGTGAAACGTGCAAAGCAAACCCGACCCATATTTCGTCCGTCAAACTTTTCACTAAAAGCGATGCTAAATCAGAACAAATATCAACTAAGATTTTCTCACTTGATTCTCACGCCGATGGACTTGCGGAAGGCCTGCATCAGCGCCTCCGTCTTGTTCATCTCGAGACTGTAGATCTCCGATCCGGACATTGATGTGAACGGCGTGTCGGCGCCCAGAGCCTGCGCCAGGCCCATGGCCAGCGCCGTCTTACCTGAAAGCGCGAGAGGGTGAGGTAGGATCAAACGAATGTCACAAAGAGCGGAGTCTAGCCAAACAGTGAGCTACATAGGGGCAACTCCTGTAAAACAGGGAGTCATGAGAAGCTGGCTACATCAAACAGGATGGCACAAGCATGAGTTTCGACTGAATATGTCTCGATCTGGTTGGTCCGGGTCGTGTCAAACGGAAGTACGGGACGCATCCTATAGACTTGTCGTTCGTTGGGAAGGAACACCGGCTAACTGTTATGTACCTATTGAAGAAAAAAAATGGAAAAATTCAATATAACCGGGAGAAGCAATGTCAGACCCACACAAACTCAGTAAGGCCGATCAAGTGAAATACGAGTCGCATAAAAATCACGGTGGCAAAAACGGCTATCTCGTTTCGATACCTAATCCGTTGGATATTTTCGGAGTGGTTCAAATCTCCCAAAACCGTGAGAGGTGCGCCAATCGGCAGGCAGCCCAATTCCTCCCGGAGAGTTTCTGTCCCTCAGCATTCCCCGTTGCACTCGTAAAATCGTCACGGTTGAGATGGAATGAGGCGAAGCCAGGGTCGGTGCATTTTTTTCTGGAGGCGGCACATTTCGTCAGAAGCCGCACGGGTAATTTGATAAGAGACGAAGGCGGAGCAAGAAACGAAAATAAGGGTCGGAGAAAATTACACTGGGGCTGGGTTGGAGACGCAGCCGCCAGCCATCTACCGTTTTACAGTACCACATCCCTGTAACCAGCTCCCTCGCCCTCTTACCGGTGCCGCCAGTCACTCACCGGTGCCGGGCTGACCGGCGATGAGGATGGCGCGGCCGGCGATCTTGCCCTCCTGGATCATCTGCAGCACGAGGCCGGCGGCGCGGCGCGCCACCTGCTGGCCCACCATGCCCTGGGAGCTGGGCCGCGCCTCCAGCGCATCGTCCAGGCCCAGGCCGCGGATGTGCGAGTGGGCGCCGACCCGCTCCAGGCGGGTCACCTCGCGCACCTCGGCCACCTTCTGCGCCGCCGCCTGACAAACGGTCACAGACAGACAGACAGTCACACAATGGAGTTAGCACATAGTTACACCATTTACTGCATCCACCAGATGAGGACATAAGCTGATCCATCCATTCTGTGATCTCAAAACAACCAGAAACTGAAGAGAAATGTAAGGTGAGGTTCCTAGCCAAACTGTCATGTAGATACTTACAGCAGCCATTATAGAAGGCTCAGAGCTATTTTCCTCGCAAGTAGGGAATCAAAGAGGCTGTATCCAAAGAAATTGTATTAAATTTAAGATGTTTCCTGAAACAAAGGTGGGTAATCATGTTAACAGTAAGAACCATCAACCAAATAAGGGTAGCATTTATTATTGATGACCCATGCAAATTGCAAGACACCCTAAACAGGCAAAAGGTAATAATATATAGGCAATGAACAGGCAATAATTTCAAAGCAAGACAAGGCAAAAAGCATTGTGTGCCAGTTCAATGTGAATGAGGTGTAGTGTAGCAGGTTGAGCAATGAGGTATAGCCACCCAGGCTGTAGAACTTATATAGCCATAACCAAACCGAGATTCTCAGGTAGGGACTAGGGGCTTAGCATTGTCTTATTTCTAGTACCTACAAGTTACAACTACTTGTACAACTAGATTGGTAATATTACTAAGTGCTCGAGCGAGGAACATATTGAATATAATTAGATAAATAAAAGAAGTTGACCTTTTCCTCGACATCAAAAATGTAAAAAGCCGAATAATATATTTTAAAAAACGGTGAGCTTTCGGCCACTGGCCTTTATCAAACCAACGTGATAACAATGTTAAAAGACGATCCTGTGAATAATCTGTCTGCCATTTTTCAAAAACCGAAGATCGTGATATTTTAGGAAAGGCGCTACTCATAAGGGCAAACTATTTGATAGACCGATTGTCTACATAGTGTCCGATGTACGTAACATACATAATATACAATTGTACACGTAGCTGTCAAACACACATCGTATGGAAGGTATGTACACTAACGCCGATGTACATCACATACATAACAAAATAATATACACATACATATATTAATCGATTGAGTTGAAAAGGCTACACGCTCACAAGATACACATGATACAGGCGCTTAATTAATTAACGTCGTGGCCAATCATGTAAGCGCCTGTATCATGTGTATCTTGTGAGCGTGTAGCCTTTTCAACTCAATCGATTAATATATGTATGTGTATATTATTTTGTTATGTATGTGATGTACATCGGCGTTAGTGTACATACCTTCCATACGATGTGTGTTTGACAGCTACGTGTACAATTGTATATTATGTATGTTACGTACATCGGACACTAGGTATGTAGACAATCGGTCTATCAAATAGTTTGCCCTTATGAGTAGCGCCTTTCCTAAAATATCACGATCTTCGGTTTTTGAAAAATGGCAGACAGATTATTCACAGGATCGTCTTTTAACATTGTTATCACGTTGGTTTGATAAAGGCCAGTGGCCGAAAGCTCACCGTTTTTTAAAATATATTATTCGGCTTTTTACATTTTTGATGTCGAGGAAAAGGTCAACTTCTTTTATTTATCTAATTATACTTGTACAACTACTTGAAACTAACTGCCAGACAGTTTTTCCAACCACCAATCAAGTTGTTATACCAAAAAATTGACAAGACAGTTGACACTTTCATTAATGGATATTATTTTTAAGTGGAAAGCTATTCATTGAACTGTGGGGACCATAGTGAGCATCACTAATTAATATGACTCATTTACATGTCTTCACACTTTGTACTTGATGCTCATACTATAAATATTTTTCATTACCTAGTTCTAGTCCACACAGTCTGCAAAACTTCACAGTAAATCCACACCATGGGGCACACCGCACCAACTGAATGCCTCAGCAGACAGCACTGATATGATCTTAAGATTGCCATCCTTTCCAGTCTGGCCTTCCAGGTCAAGGTAACTAGCAGTGCTAGCTGCTTCCTGTGCTGAAATTGAGATATCAAGTGGAATAGCCTAAACACTGATGTGTCAGTAAAAAAATTTGGCTTTTCCTGTGAAATTCTAGAATCGGCACCAAGGATGTTCTCGCTGTGACCCCTCAATCCTCGTATAATTAATAATTTTAATCAATGAAGGGTGACAATAAAATAAAGTTATGATTCAGTGAGTAAACCTGTTTCGATACAGAGTTTGAAAGGTAATACAAATCCTACAAATATTCTATTCTAAGGCTACACATGTTTCATTCTGGTAAGGCTAAGAGCTAAATTCACCACGTCCACGCCCACACTCGCCCCCCTAAGACGAACACACACAAACAAGGTCATATGATATATAGGATATTTATAGGACATTGTCCAAATATACAAACCGACAAAAATAATAATGAAAAATCCAGGCATATGCCCATTTTTACCCAACGCACACACCCCCAATCGGCCCAAGCGCACACACGCAAGCACACACGTGCGCGCGTGTATCGATAAAGCAGCTTTCGCAAAGGGAAATTTTCGGGAAATAGAGTTGTTGCATGAAGGAATTCATGAAGTGTTGAAAAGTATAGAGCCAAATAAACATCCGATAAGACACAATTTATTGACATTTCAACAATTGTGTTTATATTTTCGATAATATGCTTATATTTCAATTATCCTTAGCTTTACCCAAGGCTATATAAACCGCTTTACCCAAGCTTTTTATCCTTAGCTTTTGACTTTACCCAAGTTTTTCACCAAACAAATTTTCTCCACCTTTCTAAAAATTTTGTTTGAGACAAATATGAGGGGCATGCGACATTTCATTATAAAGTTCACAGTGAGTTCAGTGGTGTATTTACAGCGAATATGCAATCCATAGGTTTTGGAGACGTCATTAGTAAAATAATAATAAAAAATCATTTTTCGATGCTTCAGCAGACCTTTTCTGCATTCTTTTCTTGTTCTCATTATTAAAATCATGCATAAGAATGAGAGAATTTAATCATAAATACGCAAAATGACCCAAATAGCGCTGAAACAATGCTCTATCAAAATAGCTGAAGTGCAGCTCATTGGCTTTAAGCTATGACGTCAAAAATTCACTGCTACCCAAATCAAAGTTTCTTAGCCAACTGGTACAGAGTCAAAATCTATTCTTTGTTACTACTTGGTTACTGTTTACGAGCGAATTGTAGTGTTTGTCGACTGTCGTGTATTTGTCGCGCAATTTCTCTTACATTGTCAACTTTATGTCAAAAGGAATGTGTGCAATTGCATTTTCTAGTAAAACTGAATATCTAACGTTTTGCTAACTAGGAATCATCACAACCGTCAGGTGATTTGAGCCATTAGGTATGAATGATGTGATACCTACATCATTTTAAATGCTTTAAGTTAAATCCCCTTTTTCTTTGACCAAGTGTTCCTATTTATCCATGATAAACTTCAATCAACAGAAATTTCCAAAAATGAGCCATGTTGTTTACCCAAACTCCAACTGTGATCGCGATGGTGGATGTTCGGGGAGGTAAAGAGAGGGCACATATTTTGATACTGCAACACAAATTGTAACACTTCTCAGTGATATTATTTCAAATTTTTGAAGTTTGTAACTTAAAAGATTCTGTAAGCAATGCGTTTTTGAACTTGTATTGTTGATTTTTCTGGTAATTTAGGGTAATGCTGCTGCATGCCCCTCGGCCACCATTGTGATTGGCATCTGTCTTGTGCCTGGCAGTTCTCAGATCTGCAGCTGAATTGTTCAGGTTTGCAAAGGCATCAGATTGTAAAAATGTTAAATATTTGTTCTCAATTTCGTGAACATTTGAGTTTATTTCAATCATAAGAGAAAGTAGCAGAATAATGTGCTGCAATTTTTTCATAAGATAATTGTAAGTTACTAATGTGAAGACTGAAGAATGGATAGTGTCTGGCAGTCTGTACTCTGTAGCCACACTGAATGATTTATTCTTCCTTTGAAAGTGACTTAGTTTCTTGAGGCTGCTTAATTGTAGGTAGAGGTGTCCTGCCCTGTATGCCACTAATAATCAAAGATAAAACAAAGTGTACCTGCATAGCACTCCCAATTAGCAATAACTTGAGGCAGAATCATTTCATCCACATTTGCAGAAAAAATATTGTGCCTTGTGCAAAAACATTGCTTTTGTCTTTGTGTTTAAGATCTTAGTCTACAGGGTGTCTCAAAAGTTCGTTTACAGGTACCAGCCATGCTTTTTTGTCAATAATTCTGAATCAACAAGAAATTAAAGGAAATAGTTCACTTTCACGAAATTATTTTTTTTGCAACGATTTATGATTTTTTATGTTCAAAATAATCAGCAAAGAAAATAAAACCTTTTTATAACAAAATATTTTTTTCTATATTTTGATATAGGAAGAACTTTTCAGTTTCTGTAAGGCACACGCGATCCAGTATGAAAAGAGCATGGGTCCCGAAAATTCTTCAGAAACAGAGAAATTATCGCAGCCACCGGCATTTGGGCGATCTGCTCGATCTGATAATGTTCCCCTGAATGTCCTAATTGATCAGTACGAGAATTTCTCTAGAGTTCTCGTAGATAATTTCTCTAGTTTCTGAAGAATTTTCGGGACCCATGCTCTTTTCATACTGGATGGAAATATATGCAAGGCACACATCCTCAACGCAAGACACCTTTTTCGGGACGAGAAATAGAATATCTTTGCCTAGGGTGATCGTTGGGCTGTAAAAGCTCCTGATTTATGCTCGTCTCAGCCCAAGCTACGGAACTGCTATTCCAGTTCAAAACCCATGTTAAAAAGTGAACTATTTCCTTTAACAGTCGAAATTTTGCATGGGCATTGGTAACAACCTTCCTCAAGCAGCTTCATTGTTTTCAAGCGCATTCGACCCTTCATGAGCTCACAAAAAGGGTTCACCTCTGACCATGGATCAGGCATGAAAATGGAGGTCGCATACTCGGGTCGGCTGAGAAACTCACGAGTAATGGGAATGGTTAGGTCGGAAATGACACATGGCAAAGTGTCGGCGAGGATGAGTACAACATGATGGTCATCTAATAAAAACGGTGGCTAAAATTTTTGAAGGACAAAACCATGCGAGACTAACAGCGCTTTGAACGACCCTTGTACCGCAGCAGACTCGTGCTCCGGAAAGCAGCTGAAAATGCAGTCCTAACTATTGAAAACTGACTAGAAGCTCACAGACAGAGATTACCCAGTTTCAAAAATTGCAGGTCATCATAAAATAAAGACAAAATATCATTTAAAATTGTTTATAATATCTATAACGCTAAATTTTGAGGGGAAATAATGCGAAAATCGTCAATGCCGAGGAAAAATGACCCTCCAAAAGTGTCAATTAATGTAAAGTTTTATCTAACGAAGTTTCAAGAGGCAGATCTGGAGCAAATAGCTTTCTTTTACACACAAAATCCGGACAAAACCGCACGATGGACAGGTTTTGGCCGTTTACAAAGCAGAACCTCTCCTGAGGAAAACACTCCGGAACCCAGCGAAGGTCTTGGCATTGGGAATGACGAGCGTTCGGGATTTGCAAAATTTGCAAAATGTGTCTAAGAAACAGATGGCCGACACATTCTGCTACGATATGCTGCGAAAAATTTGCCCCTGGCACTTCCCATTTGTTCAGGAATGGGGTTGTTTTGAAAAGGAAAATGGTGCTTGGGAAGTCGGCGCCAGTCATTCATGAAGGAGCTAGCGCCAGAGAAGACCTACAAAATACTCACGGATGGTGTCGATGCAAGCTGTCGGCTTTCAGGGAGAAGCGGATGTTGCCGGGGAGCTCGTGAAACCTAAATCCGACGCAGAAACTGCAGGGGATTCCCCTACAAGAGCTTGAAAACTGGTAACCTTTTATCAGCCTCCGGCAGCTGACGGAGTGACGAAAATCGGTATGGGCAAATATTTTTGGAGATACAGCAAAGGGTTTGGTTTCCAACCTTCCGAATCAGTTGTCAAAGCATGCATATTTGTCTAGTGCGGACGGGGGCGCGGAGTCGATGGATTTTCGGCGACTCCGACTCCGACTCCGACTCCGGCTTTCAAAAACCAGCTCCGACTCCGACTCCGACTCCGGGCAGAATTGTCGACTCCGACCGACTCCAACTCCCGACTCCGACTCCGCAGACCTAGCAGGGCTGCGGAGTCGACAGGTTTTCGGTGACTCCGACTCCGACTCCGGCTCTGGTTTCTAAAATCGACTCCGACTCCGACTCCGACTCCGGTCACAACTGTCGACTCCGACCGACTCCGACTCCGACTCCGACTCCGCAGCCCTGCACACGGACACCAAAACCTTAGATTTTTGGCAGGTTCTTATATGCTTTATTGACATGGGAAATGTGTAAACGAACTTTTGAGACACCCTGTAAGTTTAAGATCTGCTTTTGTCTTAATGTCTTTAAGTGTTTAAGCCAACTGCCATCTTGCTGGAATTTACCTAAATATTACATTTAAAATACCTTTTTTATAATAATACACCATGGAAGTGCTGTGAAAATGCCTAGCTGTCAATATTTTATTTACCTTACATTCATGGCTCTAATTTCTGTCCTTTTTTTGTATTTTCACCATAGTTTGTGATTTTCTAAGTCAACAACTTACTGTTCTACAACCATGCTACCAAACTATCTTTCAGACACGATGTCTGATGGGAGCGCCGCCGCCGCTGCCGCGGACCATCCGTCAGCAGCAGAGACGGATACGTCGTCCGCCGCCTCTGCCGCCGTCAAAACCGATGACGAGTCCGCCGCGCCGACGGATGACGTCATCGTGGAGGAGGAGGCCACGCTGGAGGCGGGCCGCGCCAAGGGCCTGCTGAACTGCGCGCGCTGCGCCGTACGGCTGCAGCACGGCGTGCACGAGCCGCGCCTGCTGCCCGCCTGTCTGCACACACTCTGCCAGCAGTGCGCCTCGGGCGAGAACGGTGAGCCGGGACGGCGGAGTTGGAGACGGGCGGGACCACTGCGGGATCGGCTATCGAAACTCGGAATCCGGTGTTGGTTATTGATGGCAGCTTTCGAGGATTATGTTCATGAATAGGACTGTTAAATGCTTATATTAGAGGACAATGTATTTCGTAAACAGCTCTCATGAGAATAAACAGCTGCTTTTCATCTCCTTCCTGGGTTACGTCGAAGGAAGACTTACCTTTTATTGAATGCGGCCGTTGTCGTCTCCTACGACTTTAAATGACCGTGTCTGCCGCTTGTCTCGTCCTCGTGTGAGAGTGGCCGTTATACGTGGTCTGTCTCGTCTCCGTGTGAGACTGACCAGTATTTGCGGCGATGTCTCACCCCCCGGCCGGCAGAGGGCGCCGAGGTGTGCTGTCCGCTGTGCCGGTGCGTCTCGCCGGGTGTGGTCGCTCACCCGTTACTGGAGACGATGTTACTGCAGTCGCACGAGCACCGCGCCAGCACTGAGTGTGGCCAGTGCGCCGAGCGGGGCGGCCGCGCCAGCCGCGCCGCCGGCACCTGCCGCGACTGTCAGATCGACCTCTGCCACGACTGCATTCAGGTCAGCGGGACCGCCTGCGAGGTAGCGATACCGGGTCATGCGTATTGCCTCCCCTTCTTCACGCGTAGACAGGTGTATTTAGTTCAGATTGACGTTCCCTTTGACGGTCGTGGAGGGCGTGAAAATGACGATACCACGCTTTTATAAAGCCATTTTTAATCTTCATTTTTTTCAATGTGGTATAATAAATCATTGAAAAAAAAACTTAAAGTCACCAGCCTTGATGCGACGAAACACTAAATTAGGGACGCGATACTGTATCACACACCGCCAGTCTCGTATTATGATTTCCCCTTAACCACTTTACCAGACCTTCAGTCTGAACAAACAACTGACTGTCATTTGTCCTTCCGCAGGCTCACAAGATCACGCGGGCGACGTGGGGCCACAAGCTGGAGCTGACGCCCGAAGCAGAGAAAGAGGACCTGTGTCCCACTCATGGCCTGGTCAGTTTACGGTGTCACCCGGAAGAACCAGCAGCTGACGCTGTACGCTGGGAAATGAGTCGGTTATTTTGTGTCAGCTTGAGGTGTTCGTGAGGCGTATGCTGATGTGTGCCTACTGCATATGTTTTCGCGTCGATGATTTCGTTAAAAGTCTCTAAAAGTCTCGCTATTGGCCCCCATACTAGCTTGTTAAGCCCTTTCCCAGACTACCACCATTCTCGCGCTCCTGTGTTGAGCTCCGTAATTTCCCTCCCCGCCGACAGGTGTTTGACAACTACTGCGACTCGTGCAGCGTGCTGTGCTGCCGCGACTGCATCCTCTCCGCCCACCGCTCCCACCAGTCCTGCACGCTGCAGGAGAAGCTGGAGGGCGTCCGCGGCACCATCCGCACCGGCCTCGAGGGCGTCCGGTGAGAGAGCGACCGGGCGGGGCGGCAGGGGTGCTTTTGTGTCGAGAGGGTTAGGCAAGGGTTAGGTATGATGGGTTGAGTCAGGTATGAGAGAGTTTTGTGTGATTGGTTGATGTTTTAGTGAGAAGGTGTTATTTCTGAAAGTGCCAATCAATTATCCTTATGAGGAGGATCCGTGCAGATTTCACATGAAATCCAACAATGATGGAAAATTATGAAAAATGTAGAACAGTCTGGGTGAATGATGGATGATGTGAAAAGAGGTGAATTTGTATCGACACTTGGCTAATAGTTTTACGAATTTCGAATACAGTCATTTAAAGTAACTGGTCCCTTTTACGATACCCGGCAAGAACAATCGTTAAAATGTTATTGACGTAACATTATGGTCCTCCGGGCCGGATAGAGTACCGTAAAATAACTGTAACCAGTTAAGAAATTGATTGACTGCGATTTGATAGGTAACGTAACTATGAGTGTACGATCGGCTTGCGGTGATAGGTCTGCATCTGCAAGTCTCAAAACCCGAAGTGAGGCTGAAATGAGCTCTACGTCCACCACTCGCAGTTCGGTAAGGAGGCGAGCGCTCGTATCACAGCTCAAAGCCGAACAGGCGAAGCGAGTGGCAGACGAGAAGATTAAGGCAGCTGAGGTTCGTGCGAGGCTAGCAAGAGATGAGGCTTTAGCTGAAGCACGACAGGCAGCTGACCAAGCGGAGGTAGACGCGCTGGAGCTTCAAATAATGGAAGAAGAGGTTGGATTGCGAAATTCGGTCGGCACTCCAGATAAAGATGGAATGCGACCGGTGTCCATGCACCACCAGCCGCCGTCCATGGACCGCGCTGTTGACAAGTTGAGCCCTGTGCCGCCGACCCCGATGGCTCGCGCTCAGAACGAGCAGACTGATCAGCGGGTCCAGTGTCAACTGCTTGGTGACACGCCAGCTGCAGCGTGTCAAAGTATTGCCGGAGCGCAGTCTGGAAATGCGGGAGGGAGTAACCCGACTCGTCCACCCGATCAAGAGAACAACCCGGCAAACAGATCGCCCGATCGAAGCCATCGCACAAGACGATGGGTTGAAGCCAACACAAACTTCGCTCCTGTTCATGCCTCGCTGCCCAAGATACAGCTTGGGATGTTTGATGGGTCTCCGTTAGAGTGGCCCCGGTGGATCTCGCTCTTTCGAGCCCTGGTTCATGATAATGCGTCACTGACTGACACAGAGCGCATGATTCACCTCCAGTCGTTCCTGACGGGAGACGCTCGTGAAGCCGTGCGTGGTCTGCTCTGTGACGTGTCGCTCTATGAAGTGGCGCTGAGCGAGCTGGAGACTCAATTTGGAAACCCGACTGCTGTCGTCCAGAGCACACTCAGCAGCATTCTTCAGCACCCGGTAGTGAAGCACAACGATATCGCTGGCCTGACAAGTCTGTCGCGAGCCCTGCACACGGCCGTGTGCGTACTAAAGAGCATGGGCTACCAAGCGGATTTGGCCGCGACCTCTTCAATGCAGCAGGTGATAGCCAAGCTACCAAGCACGCTGGCCTGGCAGTGGGGCCAGTTAGAGGTGGAAATGATGCCACACGTACCCACTCTGGAGGACATTGATTCTTGGCTTGGGAAAGTAGTGCTGGCGGGCCGCCGCGTTCAGCCTGCGCTCTGCTCAAGGGTACAGGACAGTGTCGCCAGATCAGCGCATACACCGGCACCGCTGAACAGGCGCCGGGGCGACACAAGAGGGAACACAAGTTCAGCTCAGCGCACAACTTTAGCGACTGCTTCAGGAGCGGCTGTCAGTGCTGAATGTGTTGTGTGCCAAAGTGGCGCCCACGCACTCGCCGAATGCCCATCTTTTCTGGAGAAAACACCGGAGGAGCGCGGTCACATCGTGCGCAGTGGCCGTCGCTGTTTCCGATGTCTCAGTACTGGCCACTGGCTGAGCAAATGTTCGAGCAGGACAGTTTGTGGAGAGCGGGACTGCAAGGGGAGACATCATCGCCTTCTCCACATACCGTCGGCGCAATCTCCTCATCCCGCTCAAACAAGACCGACGGCGACGACAGACGCCCGTGACGTAATGGCAATGACGCAGACGGAAACGCATACAAGTCAGCGCACCTTGCTACAAATTGTTCCAATCCGGATTCATGGAACTGAAGGACGCTACAAGGATACCCTCGCACTGTTGGACTCCGGTGCCGATACGAGTCTGTGCGAGGAGCACGTGCTAAAGGAACTGGGGATTGACGGAGACAGGAGGGAGCTACAACTGGCCAATGTTGAAGGAAGCGGAGACAACAGACTCGCGATCAGAACGAGTCTGCAAGTGTCCTCCTTGTCCCCAGGAAGTAACGCCAAGACGGTCACAGTACAAGAGGTGTTCTCCGTCGCCCGACTGAATGTGCGTCCTCAAAGCGTGGACTGGAGGCAAAGGAAGGCCTGGAAGCATCTGGATGATATAGTGATTCCAGACAACAATGGAAAGGCCGTTGAACTGCTGCTGGGGGCCAATGTTCTGGAGGCCATGCTGCAGCAGGAGGTCAGAGTCGGCAAGCCAGGACAACCAGTGGCAGTACGAACCCACTTCGGCTGGTGTCTGACCGGAAATGTGGCTCAGCTGGTGACCCATGGCCAGCGAGAGGTGATGCACATTTCCAAGCACCGCTCAGCTGATGACGAGCTGGTGACTATGCTGAAGGACTGGTGGTCAACGGAGGCATTTGGTACTGCGTACAACATGAAAGAGCCGACATCTCAGGAAGACCGGCGAGCTGAAGACATCATGGCAAGGACTACCACGTGGCGCGGCGATCGCTATGAGACAGGGCTGCTGTGGTGTGATGAAAATGTCAAGCTGCCTGACAACTACCCCATGGCCATGCGCCGGCTGGAAAACACAGAGAGGGCTCTGCGCCGAGCTCCTGAGAAGGCGACAGCGTACCAACAGAGTATGGAGGAAAATGTGAAGGAAGGATACGCGCGGAAGCTTGATGATGAGGAACTGCTGGTACAACATGACCGCACCTGGTATTTGCCTCATCACGCAGTCGCCAGCAAGCCAGGCAAATTCCGCGTGGTCTTCGACGCAGCGAGCAGCTATGGAGGTAGCTCTCTTAACGGGCATCTGCTGTCTGGACCGGACCTCCTAAGATCACTCCCAGGGGTGCTGCTACGTTTCCGTCTAGGGTCCGTTGGTCTCTGCGCCGACATAGAGAAGATGTTCATGCAGGTGGCTGTGAGAGTTGAGGACCAGGCCTCACTCCGCTATCTCTGGCGCGATCTGGATAGCACCCGTCCGCCAGATATATACCAAATGGACAGGGTAATATTCGGCGCTCGGAGCTCTCCAGCATCAGCCAGCTACGTACTACGCCGAACAGCCCAGGAGAAGAGTGATGACACTGTAGCTGGACGCAGAGCACGGGATATTGTCGAAAGAGACTTCTATATGGACGATTTGGCCACCTCTGAAGCAGACAGCGATACAGCACAAGAGACGGCGGCAGAGGTGACAGCGCTGCTCTCCAGGGGAGGCTTCAGACTCTGCAAATGGAACAGCAACTCCAGGGAGGTGCTTGCGAGGATCTCGATGGAAGACAGAGCGGCTGGTGCCGTAGATCTAAACGCGTCACTACCGACACAGAAGGTCCTGGGTGTGCAGTGGGATGCAGAGCTAGATGAGCTGAGTCCCAGTGCTCCGTCAGTCACGAATGTCGGGCCGACAACACCAACTACAAAGCGCGAGATCCTACGGGTTATCGCTGGTATTTTTGACCCGCTGGGGCTGGCGAGCCCTTTTCTGGTCCTGGGGAAGATGATACTGCAGACACTCTGGTCGACTGAACACACCTGGGACAGCCCTCTCTCTGACGAGGAGTGCAGCGAAGTGGCAGCTTGGATCTCAGAGTTGCAGTCAATAGAGAAGATTCGAGTCCCAAGATGCTACGCGTATCAGCAACACACCAAGAAAACAGTCACGAAGACGTTACACGTCTTCTGTGACGCCTCTGAGCGAGCCTTTGGGGCAGTCGCTTACCTCAGGCACGAATATGCAGACGGTGCCATCCACTGCTCCTTGATTATGAGCCGATGTAGGGTGGCGCCGCTAAAAAGGTTGACGATCGTCCGTCTAGAGATGCAGGCGGCGGTGCTGGCTGTGCGCTTGGCGGCCCAAGTAGCTCAGGAGCTGAACTTGAATCAAAGTGACACGGTCTTTTGGAGCGACAGCAAAGTCGTCCTCAGCTACATCGAGAACAACAGCAGGCGCTTCCACACGTTCGTTGCTAATCGTGTGGCCGAGATCCGTGACGTGTCTGAGCCCAGACAGTGGCGTCATGTGCCGACCGAGCTCAACCCAGCAGACGACTGCTCGCGGGGATCGAAAGCCTCCGACCTGAAGAGAGACAGCCGATGGATAAGGGGACCCGACTTCTTGTGGCAGTCAGAAGATGCCTGGCCACCAGACCAGCAGCTGTCACTGAAAGATGAGGATCCAGAGCTTAAGACCGTGATGGTCACACAACACAGCACCCGGCTGGCCACCCTTACCCTGCCTGACCCACAACGGTTCTCTAAATGGGTCCGCTACCAAAGAACTGTCGCCTGGATTCTGCGATTCACGAGGAACATGTTGAGAGTGCTGAAGTCTCAGGTCGCACAGCCAAACGCCCTCGAGCGGGAGCCACTATCTGCCGAGGAGCTACATGAAGCAGAAAACATGGCGGTGCGATGTGCCCAACGGCAGGCATTCGCCCAAGAGATTGAGGCACTGAACGAAGGTAAGGAGCTCCCTTCGTCAAGCAGTCTTCTGCAGCTGACTCCAATGCTAGACTCAGAGGGGCTGTTACGAGTCGGCGGACGGCTATCTAATGCTCCTGTGCCAGAAGAGACCCGCCACCCTGTGATCCTCCCGAGAAGTAGCTGCATCTCGAGGCTCATCATCGACGCAGTTCATCGACGATTGATGCACGCGGGAACCGAACATGTCCTAAATGAGCTCCGTCAGGCCTACTGGGTGCCGCGCGCCCGGCAAGAAGTCAAGAAGGTAGTGGCTGACTGCCCTCTTTGCCGACGACGCCGAGCTAAGCCGTGTCAGCCCCGCATGGCCGACTTGCCGACCGCACGTTTCGACACGAAGTACGCCTTCAGTTCAATTGGGCTCGACTTCTTCGGTCCTCTAAAGATCAAGGTGCATGGAGGACGAATCGAGAAGAAGTGGTGTATGCTGGTCACGTGCCTCTCCACGCGCGGGGTCCATCTGGAGCTGACATCCTCCCTGAGTACCGACAGCTTCCTGATGGCCTTCCGCAGGTATATCGCACGACGTGGACCGCCATCAGACGTCTTCTGTGACAACGGATCGTGTCTGCGGGCTGAAGAGAAAGAGCTACGCCAGCTGCTGCGACAATGGAACCAGCACACTATCAGCGATGAGCTCACTCAACGCGATATCCGGTGGCATTTTAACCCACCGGCTGCCTGTGATATGGGCGGAGCCTGGGAACGGATGGTGGAGACTGTCAAACGCGCGCTGAGAGCTGTCCTCGGGCGGCTGCTTGTCTCCGAGGAAGTACTGCACACTGTTCTGACTGAAGTGGAAGCAGTCGTCAACAGCCGCCCACTCACGCACGTGTCGACAGACCCGAACAGTTTGGAGGCACTGACGCCCAATCATCTGCTGTTGGGGCGTCCGGTCAGGCGTCTGCCTCCAGGATTGTTCCGAGACGAAGAGAGCTGCTCTACACGAGTTTGGCGGCAGAGCCAGGCGCTAACAGACCAGTTCTGGCGGAGATGGCTTCGAGAGTATCTACCAGGACTGGCATGCCGACCGAAGTGGAGATCGGAAAGTCGCAGCCTGGCAGTGGGGGATCTCGTCCTCATCGTGGAGAACGGCAGCCCGCGCGGCCAGTGGCCCCTGGGACGCGTGACCGAGACAGTTCCTGGGCCTGATGGCCGCGTCCGGTCGGCGCGCGTACTGGTCCGTGGAGGAGAAGTGCACCGCCCCGCCCGGCGGCTCTGCCTGCTGGAGGAGGCACTCGGGTCATGAGCTGGCGTGCGCCTGGTCCGCTCCGTTGGCGGGGGGAGGGTGTTATTTCTGAAAGTGCCAATCAATTATCCTTATGAGGAGGATCCGTGCAGATTTCACATGAAATCCAACAATGATGGAAAATTATGAAAAATGTAGAACAGTCTGGGTGAATGATGGATGATGTGAAAAGAGGTGAATTTGTATCGACACTTGGCTAATAGTTTTACGAATTTCGAATACAGTCATTTAAAGTAACTGGTCCCTTTTACGATACCCGGCAAGAACAATCGTTAAAATGTTATTGACGTAACAGAAGGGAGCTGGGTGGTGGGAGTGTAGCTAATTGTGAATGGCGTTTGTGTGTTTGTGTTTTTAAGACGGCCAGTTTGATTTTACGTCTCGACACCCACTATGCCGCATGGCCATTGTTAACAATGATGTTTTCCCCTCATTTTCAGAGATATAAAGACAAAAATAGAGGAAGATATACACAATTTGAAAGTGAAACTAAAAGAATTTGACGAGGGGAAAACAAAAGGGCTCCAAGGAATCCATGCCTGTTATGACGAGTAAGTTTGTCCATGCTTAAGTGTTGACCTGTTGGGGTTGATCGGACAAGCAGCACAGTCAGTACAGCTCGCCTCCACCCATTCAGGGTCGTCATTTGGTGTTTTTTACGTGCTTGTCTTGCATTGCTGAGGCTGAGTAGTTGTTTATCATTTGGGAATGTAACCGATATGCTGGCGAGCTTTGACTGTTGACGTTACCTTAGGCGGTTTTTTAAATAAACAACCCGCTTCTGGTAATGGCAACCAATCTAATGAATCAGCTTAGGTATAATCTACACAACTTTGAATTGTTATCTTGGTCTTGCTATTAATTAGTGCTCCTGGTTAACACCAGTGATTTGCAGTTGACGCACAGGGGTGGGTAATTCAAATCCGTTCGGTCTGATGTCACATAAAACTGCTAGTTCCGTGCCGCCCCGGCTGAGTCCCTCCTCTGCCTCTCAGCTCGCTCTCCGTCTCTGCCCGTCAGATACCAGGACCAGAAGCGCAGCTTCTTCCTGAGGCAAATGGAGGCGTGTCGCCGGCGGCACGACGCGCACAGCAGTCAGCTGATGGAGCGCCTTCAGGCGGCCTCGCTGGTCGACGCGCGCGCCGCCCACCTGGAGAAGCTGATCGGCCGACTGCTCGAGTGCCGCCGGCCCACCACCTCACTGCACTACTTCAGGTGGGTGGTGGTGCTTTGAAGAGTCTGATGGGACTGCGGTGGTCATCGGCCTACTCGCTGTAGAGTGGGCACTGGGCGCTGGGCAGTGCTATTGTGTGGGTAACATGAGCTTCCATGTATCTTGAGCGTGTGCGGGAGTCTGGGGAGTTTGTCTGTTTAGTTTGGGGGTTTGCTTTGAGTTTGGTTTGCTTGACGGTGATTGGGATTGGTGTGAGTCGCATTTAAGGCCAGGAAGTTTTGTGAGGGCTGATCTCTGAATTCCAGGGCTCAATCTTATAAACGCCGTGGAATGGATATGGCAGCACTGGCTGAGTTCAGCTGCAGAAAACGGCTATCAAATGCAAAATGGTTTTCACGCATTTCAGTCCATCGTATGTTGACGGTCCAAAGAATTATTTCGTTGACTCGGATAACTGTTTGTCGGCGCTAGTGCGCTGATGACCACTGTCAGTCCGGGCGCCCAAAAACCCCAATTCATCATCATCATCGTCGGCACTAGTATCACTGTTTATGTTGCCAAATGCCGTGAATAGAATAGTACGGCATTTTATAAGATTGGGCCCAGGACAAGTATTTATCTCATACCTATCTACAGGTGATGATCAATACCTTACCTGCTGCGTTTTTGTCTTTTTCGCATGTGCAGTCTTCACATACACCAGGGTAAACCAATGTGTGAGTGTCATTCATATTTGCAGGCATATCTCCAACCTGTCGCAGCGTCTTTTGAACGTGGATATACCGGAGGGGGAGACGGAGATACCGGTGCTGAGCTTGCGGCGCGTGCTGGGCGTGGACCGTGAGTTTCACTGTGTTCCTAGGGTTAGAGGTGAGATGAGGTTAGACGGGGCTGGGGCTGAGGCTGGGCGTGGAACGTGAGTTTCAGTCCAACTTGTGTGGGTGGGAGGGGGGGGGGGGGGCTGAGAGGATGGAGCGATAAGAGGCCGCAGCTTCTCTCTACAATCTATGGAAGCATGCGTGTTGATTTCTTGTAACATAAAATCCACTGCACTGTCTCACGCAAGGTTTGTCTCTTTTCACTTTTCATTTTCCTCTCTGTAAGTTAGAATGGTTCAATTTTCGTTAGTTTGAAGTATATGACAAATTTATCAACCGGCCTCAGCCAAAAAAGAAGTGAAGAAGAAATAACTAACTTCCCTCCGCCGCCGAATAAAGGAAGTCCTCCCCACGGTGGCAACTCTGACGCCCCCCCCCCTCCCCCTCTGACAGGAATACACCCCATGATTGCACTGCTGCTGTACGAGGGTAGCACCTGCCTGCAGCCGGGCACCAAGGCGAAAATTTGCCACCATTTTATGACGTCCATCCAGTCGTTAGTGAGCTCGGAGCTCAAGACCGACTCAGACCTCGGACTGCGCTACGTGCGCATGATGTTCCGGCTGATAGTCAACTGCGCGCGGGACATGTCGCCAGCGATGCGGGAGCTGGTGTCGGAACTCCACAGCGCGGTGACAGCGCTGTTCCAGGAGCAGCCGTCCATGCACCCTCCGAGCGGGACGGCGCCGCCGCCGCCGCCCGTGCCGCTGCAGAGACTGGCCGACCCTCCGGCCAGGAGCTGGCTGATGCAGCAGCAGGAGGAGGAGAGTCACTCCGAGGACGGACAGAGTAGGCGAGAGGGAGAGGTGGACCTGGACGAGCCGCTGGTGGTGTGGAGCGGCAGGTCAGACGGAGGTGCCCGGTCGGCACAGTCGCGCAGTGGACAGGGGACGGCGACATCCTCCGCCGCGCCGCCGACCCTCAGCACGTGGAGCTCGCTCGGCCAGTCGACCTCGGCACCGGCGTCTGCGACTGTAGCGCAGGTGAGACTGCATTCACAATTTGTGGACGAACGATCGAGAGGGAGATCGCATAGTTTTATACTGGACGTGTGCATCATTTCACTGTTTGTCGTTGGCCATTGAAGACTGCCTACTGGTATCAGCTGTGCCGCTCCCTGTCATCAATCATACTAACCGGTCCCTTTACCCACAGGTTACCACCGCACGACCCAACGTTTCGGCGGCCTCCGCAGCACCATCACAGATGCCTGTGTTGTCTGCACGACTGCGGGAACAATCCAAGGCGTCTGACCCGACAGCGGCGCCGGTCCCCGTCCCTGCGACGGCTTCGGCGTCCGCCGTCCGGCACCCGGCGCCCGGACCGGCGGTCAGCCCACGCGGTGTGGCGGACGCTAGACCGACGCGGCCGGGCGCCAACGTCGCGACTCCCAGTCCATCTGCCATCGCCGCCGCCGCCGCTATTTACAATGCCGCCGCCGCCGCCGCTGCCGTCGCGTCCGATGAGGCGGCGACGATGGCGGCGTGGGCGCCTGCCACCGTCACTGTGCCTCGAACAGTCGTCCGGGAGTCTACCAGCGCTCGGGTGACCATGCCCGCCGCCGCGACAGGGGTGCCCATGGCGCCGCATACTGTGAGGTTAGCGGCCACGACGTCCAGTTTCTTCAGAGCGGCGGCGGCGGCAGATAAGACACCGACTCAGAATCCAGCTCAGGCGTCAGCTCAACAATCGCCTAAAGCACCACCTCAGACTCAATCTCAGAAATTATCTCAAGGAGCTGAAAAAGCAGCGACGATGGCGGCGGGGGCACCCGCGCCAGCTCAGAAGTCAGGGCAGGTACCAGCTCACACACAAGCTCAGGAAATAGGTCAGACCACAGCTCAGAAATCAGCTCAGGTACCAGCCTCAGCCGCCGCACCAGCCCCAGCAACATCATCTCAGGCACCAGTTGCCCCCGCAGCGACTCTGGGTGCAGCTGCTACGGTCTCCGCTGCACCCAGAACCGCAGTTCCAACACCGACCGGTGCACACCGAACTCCGCCTGTCGTCGCGTCGTCTAAAGCTGCGGCGATGGCGGCAGGTGCACCTGCGGCTGCCCCTAGAGTTCAGCACGTGACCACCACCCCGCCACGCACCGTCGCCCAAGCAGCTACCAGCGCTCGGCTAACCACGTCTACAGCGTCCGCTACGGCAACGGCGGCAGCAGCTCAGGCACCAGCTCCGGCGGTAGCTACCGCGGCCTCTTCGCCGAGTCTCGCATCTCCAAAAACGATCAGGACTCCTAGTCCTCGAGCTGCGTCAGCCACCACCAGGGCTCCTGGAGCTTTGTTCGCCACCACCAGGGTTCCTGGAACTGCGTCAGTCACCCTCTGGTCTCCTGAAGTTTCGTCAGTCTTCACAGGAAAGTTCCGACTTGCGTCGGCTTCCGTGGGACGCCCGGCTAGGCCTCCTGTCACACCTCCTCGGAGACCGGTCCCGATGCTTCAGCCGATTATCATACACATGCCGAACATCGAATCAATCTCACCAGAACGACCGATCGCTCGAAGCCAGCGACCGCCACAGCGGCCGGCAACGCCACCAGCACCGCCACCACCGCCTCCACCACCGCCGCCGCCGCCGCCGCCCCCAGCGCCGCCGGCGAATGCCAGTGTTTCGGATGACGACGACGACAACTCCCTGTTTGTTGACACCAAAGTGGATGTGATGGATACGGCTCTGGCCATGATGGGTATGTTACCCCCGGAGCCGGAGCCTGCGTCTGCCCCGAAGCCAGCGTCTGCCCCGGCGCAGGTGCCGACGTCTGCCCCGAAGCCAGCGCCTGCGCAGGTGCCGACGTCTGCCCCGAAACCAGCGCCTGCCCCGAAGCCTGCGTCTGCCCCGAAGCCTGCGTCTGCCCCGAAGCCAGCGTCTGTGCAGGTGCCGACGTCTGCCCCGAAGTCTGCGTCTGCCCCGAAGCCAGCGTCTGCGCAGGTGCTGACGTCTGCCCCGGAGGTGAAGACGGCGTCCGCTCAGGAGCCGGAGACAGCGTCTGCCCCGGAAGCGGAGCCAGCGCCCGCCCCGGAGCCGGGGCCGTCATCTATCCTTGAGCCGCAGCCAGCATCCGCCCCGGAGCCGGAATCAGCGTCTGCTCCGGAGCCAGCGCCCGCCCTAGAGCCGGAGGCGGTGGCTGCCCCGGAACCGGAGCCGCCGTGCGCTCAGGAGCCGGAGCCGGAGCCATCTGCTCCAGAGCCGGAGCTAGCGTCTGCCTCGGAGCCGGAGCCGGACCAGTCGTCCGCTCCGGAGCCAGAGCCTGCGTCCGCCCCGGTGCCGGAGCCTTCATCTGTTCTTGAGCAGGAGCTTGCATCCGTTCCGGAGCCAGCGTCTGCCCCCGAGCCGGAGACGGAACAGTCGTCTGCCCCGGAGTCGGGGTCAGATATGGAAATGGCGTCGGACCCGGAGCCAGAGTCTGCCCCGGAGCCGGAGCCGAAGCCAGCGTCTGCCCCTGAGCTGTCGTCTGCCACGGTACTGGAGCCTCCGCCCACCCTGGCCTCGGTGCGGGAGCCTGCACCCGCCCCGGGGCCGTCGTCTGCCCCGCCAGCCGGCCTGGCCTCGGTGCGGACGAAGCCGGCACCGGTGCGGACTGGACACGGCCACTCTGGTGCCAAGGCGGCCTCCAAGACCGCCGGAACAGAGACGGTGTCACAGCCGGCCACCGTGCCAGTGGGAGACCCCGACTGGAAGAAACACCTGCGCGAGAAGCTGCACCGCTCCATGGAGAAACTCCGAGCGAAGCGCGCCGGGTCGACCGCCCATCTCACAAAGACGCTAAAACGCGGCGAGAAAGTGACTCGCGGCTCGCCAGGAGGTAAAAAGCGACGGCACATGGTGGGAGAGCGAGCGGACGGCGAGCCACCAGTTAAGAGTCGTCCCTCCTCGGCGACCGGGAGACTGGACCGCTCCCTTCCGAGCACGCCGGACAGGGACGGCGGCGGGGGCAGCCGCGGCGGCTCGAGGACGTCGTCACCGGGATCGTCCGGCCGCCAGGCGGAGAAGGGCTCGCGGCGCGGCCGAGGCCGGCTCTCGAGCCCCACGCCACAGCCGCAGTCGGCACAGGACCGCGCGCCGCCGGTGGCCCGGCAGCCCTCGCTGCTGGTGGACGACCACGGGCGGAAGGTGAGCCGCGCCGGCGTCAGCGTGGAGACCCCGCTCACCGACCTGCTGGACAGCATGCTACTGGCCGGCACCGCCGCGCCGCAGGCTGACAAAGGTGAGAGGAGGAGAGGGGTACTGCGGGCCAACACAGTGGGCGGTCACTGCGGCATGACGCCCAATGAAGTGGTGCAGTTGTTCGGAGGTGAATGCGTGTCTTCGCAACTGTTTAGAACTGGTATAAGCGGTAAGGGAGATAAGCGTAAGGAGATAAGGTAAGGGAGTATAAGCGGTACTGGTAAGCTGGTAAGGGAGAGCGCTAAGCTTTTGATATGTTATTCTCACTGCGTCTCTTTTTTGTGGTATTTTGTCCCATAGTCGCGCTTTGTTTGGCACTGCATTTAACCAATTATATTCTTTATGTTCTGTCATTTTCATCTGCTGTCGCCTGACAGTTTCCTGACAACTGTTTCAGCGGGAGGCATTAAAAGACCGGCGCCGCACGGACCAAACAAAGCTATCCCCGCTTTCTGCTCTCCAAGAGGTCAGGGTAAGCCACTACCGAAGAAACCCCGGAGTCCCGAGGCGGAGGCCACGGCTGACAAACCTGCTGAATCAGCGACCACAGCGGCGGCGGCGGCGGCAGCAGCGGCGGAGTCATCGGAACGACCTTCCGCGGCGGCGTCCACCACCGGCCGGCGGCGTCGGCGGCGGCGCGCGGGGCTGGACCGGCAGGTGTCGCGACAGCTGATGGACGACCTTCAACTGTCGGAGGATTCGCGCGACTCCTCAGCGCCGGGCACTTCCGCTGGGCCCGGCGGTGCGGCTGGGCCCGGCAGTCCGGCTCGGTCCGGCAGCAGTCAGTCGCAGTCCAGCAGCAGTCAGTCACAGTCTGGAGACAGTCAGTCGCGGTCCGACAGCAGTCAGTCGCAGTCCGCCAGTCCGGCTCGGCCCGGCTCGTCCTCCTCCTCCTCCGGCAGCGGCGGCTCCTCCTCTCCCTCTTCCACCTCCTCTGGCTCGCGCTCGGCGTCCGCCACCTCGTGCAGCTCGGCTGTTCCCACCCCAGCGCCGCCTGAAGACTCCAAGGAACCGCCGCACCGGCCCCGTCCTTCCACGTCCACTCTGGTACGGACGCTGCCCGTGTTCGCCGCCACGCCGCCGCCGACGGCCGTGCGGCCAAAGTTCACCCCGCCGCACCCTGCTGTTGGTGAGGAGGACGGCGGGGGCGGTGATACCGGCTCCTCCGCGCCGGCTGCTCCTGCCACGACCGAGGGGCCGTCCAAGACACCGCCAAAGCCGAAAACAGACGGCGCGGCGACAACGCCGCCGCCACGACGTCTGTCGCCAAGTCCGCCACCACTGTCACCGCCGCCTAAGGCAGGCCGTTCTTCAACATCGCTGCCCACCCACCTGGTCCGTCCTGCGGACCTGGTGCTGTGGGACCGAAAGCGCGACCCGCTGGGCATCGGGTTCGCCAATGACGCGCTCTACAAGCCGCCCGAGCGCGGCCCGCAGTCTCCGAACGTCAGCTACTGCGTGCTGTGCTGGGACGGCGGCGACCTGGTGCTCTGCGACCGCTGCGAGCGCTCCTTCCACGCCGAGTGCTACGTCGGTGACGTCGATGACGAGGAAGAGTAAGTGACGGGATGGGAGGACGGTAGCGGTTAGCTGGCTCCAACGACTTTAGAACAGCGTTAGTGATTTGGGGTATGTTTTTTTAGTTAGGAAGTTCAAAGCTATCTAGAGGCCTGACAGTGGCCACAGTTCAAGCCTGCTTTTGGCCTGAGAAGAAACTAATTTATATCTTGCCCCCTCACCAATCCTAAATGACTGCTCTAATCATTAGTCGATAACTGATATCAATGTAACGTCTTGCGGGTCCGATTTCAGCGTCTGAACGTTACTTGGCATTTTTGTCTGCAGTTTTACCGCTTTACAGCTCGCTCTTGAAACTTAGCACGGCTGCCGAGTGTATCTCTATTTTATAACCCCAATCTCCTTCCACAACCGGATGTGCGAAGCTTCGGTGCCCGCACATTGTGCCAAATTACGACGGCATGCCCGAAGTCGGCATGACATTGCTTTTTTCGCGTATCTGCCTGCATCTTCTCGCGATAAGCAACCAGGTATAAATGTCAGTCCCCCGATGGCTACCGACGCCGGAGTCCCTGCGGCGATCACGTGATTACTGACGTCACAAGGTCAATGGACACGCACTGGTCACATGCCGGAATCAGCCGGCGAACAGTAAAACCACAGTGCGAACACGTGACTCATGTCACGGCCAAATTTATGGGCCGTGTCCGTAAAGTGCCGATAAAGCAAAGCGAGCGTCCGTGCCGCTTCTTGATCTGTACGGACTGCAGAGTGAGGGTTTCTTTTGTTCGTAGATGATAGGCTTAGCTTCTTTGTGTAGGTGAGAAGCATGATTGGTTCGGCTGAAATGTTATCGCTTTTGAGCCACAAGTATGCTTGATATGACCCGATCGGTCGTATAACTGGTTATAATATGAAGTACTGCTACATCGACGTGAATTACACACACTAGCCCCGTTGACATTTTAATGACTCCTTCCCGTAATGAGTGAGGTGTCCCTCCCTCCCTTCTCAATGTCACTGTGTAATGTCTCCCTCTCTCTCTCTCTCTCCAATCAAGAGAAGCTGTGCCTGCCGTGCCTCCCTCCCTCCCTCTCTCCCTTCCCAGTGAGTGTCTGACGTTTCTCCCATCCTCTCTCCCCAGCAAAGAGTGGCAGTGTCTGATGTGCCGGCCCGTACCGCGCGTCCCGGCGCCAACGGACCGCCGTCGGGGCAGGCCGAACCTCACCCGTTCCGAGAAACTCGTCGCTCGCCGGCTGCTCCTGGAACTCTACGCTGCTTACTACCCCTGTCTCTACTTCAAGAACGCTGAGAACATGGCCGTGAGTTAACCAGAGATCAACACATTCACACTTTATTCTAGACAAATCGTAATCTCATACAACTTAACATTTCAGATTTATTGAAAATGACATTGTGTTACAATTTGCGATAATTCACGCAGCCCTATTCAGAGCGCGTGTCTATTGGACGATTCAAAGACCCACATGCAATCACCTGCAGCCTTGCCTCACATTCACACGTGTCGTTGCTGAGATATGCGCACAGGTGTCTGTCGTCCCGCGGCGTGTGTTACGTGCATAGGCACAACGGCCGTCGACCCGCGACTTATCCCCGATCGTCACTCTCGACTGATCTGATACCCGACCGTCTGTGTCGACAGATGCTGCCAGAGTACCGGCGTATCGCCAACCCCGTCTCCCTGGACGACATACGCGATTGCCTACTCAATGACGGCTTCCCCACGCTGATGGAGCTGCTGGCTGCGCTGCGCGGCATCATGGGACTGGTCAGCGTGCTGAAGGTACGGCTAGCGAGATGCTGAACAATAAATGGCAATTGGTAATGGAATCTGCCGTAGGATTTACCGGCGAAGTGTATCGTATATTATACGTTCCACTAACTCGGATACGTGTTTGACTGGTGGTATATAAAACTATTGAGCGATGCAGCCCATTTGAAATGTAGGACATTACGATAGTATGTAGGTTAAAGACGTGCCGTGCCGTAACTGTCGTCCCTCTCTCTCCTTGTCGCCGATAGCGGGGCAGCGCAGCTAAGAAGTACCTGAAGGAGTTGGAGGAGGTCTTTGACATGTTCGTGCGGGACCATTTGAACGAGCACTGGCTCATGCTGGACGACGAGCCAGACCGGAAGAAACGCGCCAAGTAACCGCGGCCGGCGCAGTCCCGTAGCTGAGCCGTCTGGTCGGCCTTCTCGGGGATAACGGAACGGGTGAGGCTCGAACGTTCGATAGGTATTAGTGGTTTTCTCAGTGGACTTTTGGCTATCGTTTTATATGCATGCTTACCAACGAGTGATGTGTAATGTGTATGTTCATAATGGTGTATTTTGGTGTTTGTGAGACGTCTGCTATGCAGTTATTGAAGAGCAGCAAGATGTGAGGTCACCGAGTGTCTGACGAAACATCGACCTTGTTTGCTGAATGTGTATTTTGAAACGTTTTAAAAGCACTGAAAGGTGTCAAGCTATTGCGCGGCACTGCGGTGTGCGGCAGTCATCATAGCTCCCGTTATTGCGTTTCAATGAGGCGCGTAGTACATTGCTGGCAATTTAAGTTTAGCTAGCTATGTCTTTCAACCGGTGAGCTAATGTCTGTATTCGGAACTGTACTTTGAGATCTGTAGCGAGTCTTCATGGCGGTCTACACAAAGTGTTTAACATCTCTTTCTTGTCGCGATTAATGTCTATCGTCGGCTGTGCGGATGCATTTAGTCTTGTTGACATAGGTCGGTGTGTATGGATCTGTTACAACGAAAACGTGGAAGCGCTACGATAACTCTGAACGGTAATGTGTATCGCGGCGAACTGAGTGCCGTACATGCAGGCTTCATGTAAGCTGTGATATATCGTCACCGTAGTGTACAAACAAAACGGAAACGCATGGCCAGTTGGCAGTTAGCGACGCCGCTCAGGACTCTTAGATGAGCAGTACCTACATTTGACCGGAAAATTTCGAAATTTAGCGAACGTAGTGCGGCGTGTATGTTGTACGTTGCCTTAATCTCAGCTCGTTGCCTTCTCAACTGCATTCGATTCCCCGTAGGTCATTTTCAGCACTAGCTTGGCTGTGATCCGACATTTTGGTGCATATTTTTGACACGTGTTTTCAGTCTGCCTTTGGCTATGTGTATATGATCTAATCTTGATACGCTCAGGTCACGCCATGGGCGAAACATGCCTCGGCTAGGTGTAAAGGCCTGGCTACACTATGCGTTTTCTGCGTGCGTTTGAGCGGGTTTGCGTTTTTTTGCGTAATATCGTTCTAGACAAAAAAAAACTTATAAATATAATTTTTACATTAGTTGTGCATTAGTTATGTACAAAAGCTAATAAAGCTCTTATATTAACAAAAAAAGCGTAATATCGTGTTTTTTCTAGAACGATTTAACCCGCAAACCCGCAAAAAACGCACGCAGAAAACGCATAGTGTAGCCAGGCCTTCATGCCGCTGCCACAGTGCCATTTCACAATCGCCCTCGGCAGAGGACGTGCTCTGCGCCTCACGTGCTGGCCAGCTGTCCGGTAGGTGCGCTGAGACGGTGCCTGTGTGACCGCCCATATTGTACGATATGTAGGTACGCTCCGAATCTCGGACGCATGTACAAATATAAATCAAACATCGAACGCGAATGTTTTCTGTTGATTGTGGTAAGTGTATGAAGTTTTTTTTTTTTTTTTTTTGGCGGTTCGTTGGCCGAGAAAATCACTACGATCACTGAAATTATTTATTTATACGGGTCATAGAAAATACGTCATTCGCATAGAGCTCCGGCCGTGCGTGTTAAATCCTGGAGTGAACAGAGGAATGATACATATTATCGCACCGTCCATGTACTGAATCGCTGGCTGTTTGCGTCGGGCTGCGGCCATCAGCACCTCGGTGTTTCTCTGGGAGTACATGCACTCCGATTGTGACGCGGTGGCACGTGCCATGGACGCCGCCCGGTCTGGTGACCCGTATGGCGCGACACGGACCGGCCGCAGTCATTTCCACATAATGCCTGAGGACCTCGGTGTGTGTCACGTGCCCCTCGGGGGCGTCAGACGTGGCCAAGGTGTGGCGACTTCGCCCCGGCTCCCATACGCCACCCGGCACGGGTCAGGGGTCGGTGACCCCGCCCAGGTGACATCTGCCGGGCTGGATAGATGTCGACAGGAGTACGGTGGATGGTAGCGTCGGTGGCGGATATGATTTGCACCTCTATATGATTTGCAACACCTTTTACTTAGCGAGCACCTGTACTTGCGGCCATCCAATCACCAAGTCGGACGCAAGTTCAAAAAAGCAGACTTGACGTGTAACGTCAGCAGTCGTTATTTACCTACGTCATCATTTCCCAATTTTAAGCTCTTGCCGGTTATCCGAAACGAATGCGACTTATATGTTTATTGCAACTGAAAGTAATTAACCCGCGACCTGGTGGGGGGGGGGGCTATTTTTTGCCCCCCCCCCCCTCCAGACTTTTCGATATATCTCCAGAACCGCTGCGCCGATCGTCACCAAACTTTCAGTACCCTCCCGGACATCAATTTTACACATTGTGACCAAATTTTTTTTCCAAAAGCTATGATAGGTTGGCCGGAAATGACGTCAGAGTGACGTCATGTTCTGCCGTTTTCGACCCAAAAAAGGGTTTCGCGGGAAGAGCTGTCAGGCCTATAGCTTTGCAAATACAGAAAAATGTTTAGGACATAAAAGCTGTAGAATTGACAGGGCTACAAAACTGCTATCTCGGATTTTTTATTTTTTTTTTATTTTGACCCCCAAAAATCAAAAAATAGATTTTTGGGATATAATAGTCAAAAAATCCAAAAAGTTTTATGAATTTCGCAAAAACCGGAATATATGTGATAGTCCTTACCGCCATCCATCCACATACCAAATTTTAGATTGATACCTCTTTTTTTGGCGAAGTTATAGTGAAAAAACTGTTCAAAATTGATTACGTCAAATTTTCAAACTCAATTTTTAGCAATTCTAGACCTCGTAGTGCAAAACAAAGACCACCATTAGACTCCCCGTGACGAGCTGCATCGAATCGATACCAATTTTATGCAAAAATATCAACTTTGAAATTTGACCTTTTTTGACCTGACCTTGACCTGACCTCCACCAGAAAGTGACCTAAACCGTACCTGATGGTCTTATAACCAACACCATTGGGTTGGAAATGAAAAACTGGCCATAAAACATGCATCGCACAACCTTAGTAAAGTTGGGTTCATGTGGTGACCCTTGGTGACCTTTGGTGACCTGACCTGTGACCTGACCTGGTATGACCAGTGACCTCTAATAGCAACATATGTACTAGACAACTGACGTCTTATCGCTGATTTTCGACAAAATGCGTTTTACTCGGTGTTATAGCGCTTTCCCTAGAAGCCCCGTGAACGGTGAAACATTTTATCTTTGACCTGACCTGTGACGTCATCGGTGACCCCGAGGTCAATAAAATTTGGTTTCCCTCGACAAATTTGACAGGGCTATCGAACGCCGTTTGAATTTTGCGGATCCGTCCAGTAGTTTCGGAGATACGAGGGGGGGCAAAAAATAGCCCCCCCCCCCACCAGGTCGCGTTATAAACAGACCCCACCAGGGCGCGGGTTAAAGAACGGCAAATTTTGGTTTCTTGCACCCTTTTAACATATGAGACGGTTTCAACAAGGACAGTAACCGACTACGTTCAAGCCGGAATTTTTTCGTATGACACCCTTTGCGTCTCGGCCAGGCTCATGTGTGGTTCGGCCGCTGATGACAGGCCGTCACCTGTTCGACCACCTGTCATGGTCGGACACACCTGTCATTATTATTTTTTTTTGGGGGAGGGGGGCTGACACAGCTGTGACCCTACTTAGGCGATTAGTGATTGTCTCGGCCAAAAACCAACAATCTCAAGAGAGGCGTCGATCAGTTTCGGCAGCCGGCGAAGATAGTTGAAGAAATATGCGAAGAAATATGTTCAGTGCACACCATATGCCTTCGTACATAAGCCACTACAATAGCTCAGAACATGATTTGTTGTTGATATTCAAGGGCCTATATACTGGACTTCGGAGTAAAAGTACTAAACCAAACAAAAGCAAAAAAAAAAAAACATTTTGTAGAATACAAAAGCTCAAATGCATTTAGAATTTCGGCGCCAGTTACACTGAAAATGGTGCGATGACAAAACCAGTATAACGCCTTTTGGGGCGACTAACGGAGCGAGCGAGAGGGTGGGCCTTGCACGTGCGAAATTTCGAGGGGTTACCTCCAACTGACTTGTGCACGGAACCTTACTAATCGGTCTCTAGCGATGTGCCAAATTTGAGCACAATCGGCCCAGCCGTTCTCGAGATCTGGAAGCGGCACGCTGCACGTGCGCACGTGCAAAATGGGTCCCAAATGACTTGTGCACGGCACCCTACTAACTGTTCCCTAACCGTGTACCAAATTTGAGCGCATTCGGTCCAGCCGTTCTCGAGATCTGGAAACGACCCCTGTACGTGCGCACGTGCAACAGCACCCCAACTCTGGCACAATGCAGTGCCTAGTGGGTGCCTACCTACATGCCAACTTTCAGCGCAATCGGCCAAGTAGTTACCGAGATATTGCAACAATTACAAAACGGACACCTCTTCTTTTTGCACGTGGCACGTGCATAAGGGGTCACCCACATGCATCAGGAATAGTCCAATACTTGGTAGAAGGAATGATGCTACCCTACAAAAATTACCGCATGTAAATCGGTCCAGTGGTTGCTGAGATATAAGCGTCGCAGAATCGTGACCACGGCCGGCCGCTCATACTCAGAAATTTCCGTTATTCTACGTAAGACTCCGCTCGCTTCGGTCGCTCCGTAATAAAAAATGTCTTCCTAAAGAATGTTCGCACCCCAAAAAGTTTAGATAAACGAAAATGCGAATGGTCACCCATCAATTAGGTCACCATTCGCGTATTCCACGGAACAATACAACCCGGGTGGGAACTGGGAGACTGGCCGTGACAAATCACTCCCTCCCCCCTCCCCGGGCGGGAGGGGTGGGAGGGAGCGTGAGAGGGCACATCGCCGCGACCATCAGCGACAGGTCAGATCGGCGGCGGCAGGGGCCGAGTTCACAGCTGCGGGCACACCTCCGTCAGAGCGGCGACGAGCAGCGGGCGGGCGAGAGGGGCTCACCGGCGCTGAGGAGCCGTGCAGCGCCGACCTCAGCGAGTACAGAGAGGAGGAGACCGGCGAGCTGACCCGAGACTAGGTCACGAACATCGAGATTCGTCAGTCTTCAGGACGGCAGTCGGCACTGGTTAAATTCACCGGTACACAAGCCTGGTGAAGCAGCTCACAGGTGCGACAGGCGGCGTCCGTGCTCGTGACGCGTCACGGCGGAACTGTGACGCCCCCGGACGGTGTCACACGGTCACCCGTCACTCTGTGTGTCCGAGGTGCAGCGCCGTCACATCACTGACGGACCGCTGACCGGAGTGGCGCCATGGCTAGCCAGGTAAGGGCTAGTCCTTCAAAGTGTTTTAACACCGCTTATCACATAACTTTAATCCAATCGATTGACTGAATGCTGCTCAAGAATCTCAATACTACGGATCAGCCGATATGCAATTTGGTATTTTGTCGGTCGGTTCATGACCTAAATAAAAATACAGAAGGAGGAAAATCTGACCTTCGATGACCTCTGGTGACCTGAATTTTAACATGAGATAAAAATGAGTAATGACTAGTACTTTCATAATAATCCTTGGCGGCTATTCGAACGCCGTTTAACGCTTGTAGTGATGTGTCCGATCCGTCAAAAGGTCGGTCCAACAGGCCGCAAATCATATTCTCAAATATGAATACGTCAGCCTCATAATTTGGTACATGCACGGTTCGTCGGAAGGTCATCTCAGGCTCAAAAGAAACGATATATACCATTCGAAAGCTTACGGTGAGCTGAATCCAAAAATGTATTTTTTATCAAAATCGATCGATGGCCTTTTTTGAAAATTGCGTTTTTGTAAAAACTTGATAATCTTTTATTCAACGAGCTGTCCCGGACATTCTTGAAAACATAAACATGTATTTTTGAGTTCCAGTGAAAGCTGAACGCCAAAAGAGCAATATTCAGCGAAGCAATATTTCCAAACATTAATATGCGTCTCCCACAGCCGAAAATAAGGCGCAATCACACAGCTGCAGTGTCACGATGGACCAAAGTCAGCCACACAGAAGCGTGAAATGACCCTTATCGACTCGCAGACCCGGCGCTCTCGGCCCGCCTGACCGGCCACGGAAAGAACGTTCGGCTCTCGTTCTACTAAACAAATGTCAAAGTTGTCAGTTTAACTGTCCACATCGCTATTAAAGCTATTCAGGATACCTGTGAAGAAAATTCATTGTTCTGTCATCTTCACATCATGCATTAATTTGCATCTGTTCATGTCTACTTCGCTCAATTGAGCTTGGTATCATGCCCATATAAGGAAAATTGGCCGCGCTGAAATGTCAGAGGCTGCACCGGCCTCAGCTCGGGTGGAGTGGGGGTAGCGCCCGGCGGGGCAGGGTAACCTTTGACCGGTCGCACGGCCGAGCAGCTGTCACCAGTACAGCCTCTGACAGTGAAACCCCGCTCACTTCCCCTCCGCGGGCACTGATCGCAGCTGGTTGGAACAAAACATGTATAAGAAAAATGTAAATTAAAGCATGTTGTAAATCAAGCAGAACAATGAATTTTCTTCACAGGTATCCTGAGTAGCTTTAATAGCGATGTGGACAGTTAAAGTGGCAAATATTACATTTGTTTAGTAGAACGAGAGCCGAACGGTCTTTCCGTGGCCGGTCAGGCGGGCCGAGAGCGCCGGGTCTGCGAGTCGATAAGGGTCATTTCACGCTTCTGTGTGGCTGACTTTGGTCCATCGTGACACTGAGATGTGTGATTGCGCCTTATTGTCGGCTGTGGGAGACGCATATTAATGTTTGGAAATATTGCTTCGCTAAATATTGTTCTTTTGGCGTTCAGCTTTCACTGGAACTCAAAAATACATGTTTATGTTTTCAAGAATGTCCGGGACAGCCCGTTGAATAAAAGATTATTAAGTTTTTACAAAAACGCAATTTTCTAAAAAGGCCATCGATCGATTTTGATAAAAAATACATTTTTGGATTCAGCTCACCGTCAGCTTTCGAATGGTATATACCGTTTCTTTTGAGCCTGAGATGACCTTCCGACGAACCGTGCATGAGCAAAGCCATCACGTTTCCGGTGAGCCGCTTTAATTACATATATTTAGCTATAAATTTTTAGACCACCAATTATCTATTTTTTCGCACAAAATTTTGTTTGGGTAGCTAGTAAAGAATTTCAGAAACGTGTCAGTCAAACGTTCGGAAGCCATGACAACCTTATAAATTACGTTTAAGAAAGTTGTTTTTTAAACTACCATACCATTTACAAGTCTCCGGTATCTTAACATATTCACTTTCCATCTGAAAAACGATTCCGATTTGGTCATGAAAGCTACCTCACATGAAACACATATGGACCCATATTCCCGTACGCTAATAAAAAGACAACTTTTCAAAAATATCCTTCAAATGCAACAGTCAGCAGCCAGGAAAGCATATATAGAGAGCGCATAAAATCGGCAATGGCCAATGCGTTTTGTGTGGCTAATGGTACCAGGTATATTGGTCGGAACCTCCCATAACAGTATTAAACGTGACGTTTTCAACAATCATGCTCATTTAGCGTTGATTCCGCGTATTGCGTAATTCCCTCCGTGGTGACGCGGTCATTAATGCGTTTATGTGGGAACGCCCTCAGCGGTGACAGGAAGTGAGGGGGAGGGAGAGGGGAGTGGGAAGAGGGGGAGGGGAGGGGAGGAGAGAGTGAAGGGTGAGCGATCGATGCCACGTGCAGCCGTGAGAGCGGGCAGTGGCCGACGACGCACCTGGCCGGCCGCTATATAGATTTTGGGGGGACAGTTGGGGCGAACAGGGGACGCTCGGTGTATGGAGGGTATAATGCGATCCTCGGGGCGGGGAGTCGCCGCGGTACGGTGGACACTGGACAGCAGGCAGTGCGAGTCACGCTGTGGACAGCAGCGGAGAAGACGTACCGCGGTGGATGGTGGAGAAGCGCTGAAAATAGTGGACAGAGTGGACGAGTTACCAGCGGTGGTGGACGAGCTGGAATAGAGACACAGTGGTAGTGAGCAATATTGTGTGCTTTTACAATTAGCAAAGCACACCACCGAACAACAACACAACATAAAAACGAAAGGAGCGCCGTGCTAATCATTACCAACGAGCCAAATCGCCTGCGTTCTTGTGAAGTCGATTCGCGGATCAAGTGCAAATTACGCCGAGGATAGGACGGCGGATAGCCAATAGGACGGCGCGTTACGGACTGACAGGACGGAGCGTTTGAGACGGACCGTATTCCGAACTCAAACGGAGCTCGATGCCGCGACTGGGCAGCTCCGACCGGTGCCTGGGTACGGACCGGAAGTATGTCGCTTCCGGTGATCCCGCCGTCATCCTGACGGCCTATACATTGTCGCTGCAGGTACTGAGAAGGGTAATGTAAATAAATGCGAAAGATCAAAGAGATAGGCTATGCAAATAAACCGAAAAATGTTCACTGTTCTTTGTAATGTTCCACTGTTAGCCTGATTTCTACTTATGTCCATTGATACGTTACACATAAAAAGCGTTTAAGTTTTCATTTCCCCGGTACCTAAACTCTTCAAAAGTCCCCGCGGTTCATCATAAGTCCGTGTGTACCAATCCCATCCTTATAATCCTTGATGCACCTACAGGTGAAAATCGTTCTTCTAATGTTCTAACTAGAGTTCGCTATCAGCATTCAGTAGTGCCTTTTGTAAAGGTGCATTTGCTGTGGTTGTAAACGCATAGTAACACCACATACGCTTCGGATCACGCCATACAATGTGTCATAAAGTTCGTCTTTACAGTGGCAGTAAATCTCTTTTTTCGTAATGACACAACAAATTGAGGACGTCAAAATGATTACCTTTCAAGTATATGATACTAGTAGGTAGAAAAAGCAATGCCGAGGAGGGAATTGAGAACTTAATCGTGATTATCATGATTCAAGAGAATGCCACATATTCTTGTTCACAAAAAGTGTTTTGTAGCGATTACCTATCATTACTTAAGAACATCGAATTGTGATGCGACCAATAAAAGATTCCCTATCACTGCTTGGTATGATTCACAGGTTCATTGTCTATGACCACTGTAATAGCATTGCAATTGCATAGCAAAGTTGCATTTTTTGCGAAAGTCTCTATGAAGGGATTAGCACCGCTGAATACAGTGAAGTTGAACCGTGAATGAAAGCCTCAAACCCTCCATAAACATCTGTTCACAGTACACAGAGATGAGCGAAGCCAATGGCAAACAGACGAAGGAGCCCATCACGACAGCACAAACGCCCGATATGAACGGGAAAGGAGCAAAAAATGTCGATGCAGAAGGAAACGTAAGTACCAACTACCATTAGAGTGAACGTAAAATGCATTCCTATTCTAGCGTTCTTAAATCAAATAGGTACCTGAACAAAAAGATCATCGGAATAGATCGTTTAAAAACAACTGATACGAGTACATTTTACATTTGTACATTTACAGACGTACATTTGTCTTCCAAAGCACTTTATCGGGTCGTTGCGTACCGTTTACTGGTGTAGCAACTGTGATTCATATACAGCGCAGGTAAAACCGTCAGAGCCATCAGAGACTCCTTATTCTGACCTCTCTCGCCCTCTATATGACCTCTGACCTCTGACCGGTCAGGCGGGCGCCGCCGACCAGGAGCGGGACCAGTGGAGCAGTCCGATTGAGTTCCTGCTCTCCTGCGTGGCCATGTCGGTCGGCCTGGGAAACGTGTGGCGCTTCCCGTTCACGGCGTATGAGAACGGAGGCGGCGCCTTCCTCATCCCCTATTTGGTGGTGCTGCTCTTCATCGGTGAGAGGGAGAGAGGGAGAGAGGGTGAGAGGGAGAGAGAGAGAGAGAGGGGGGAGAGAGAGAGAGAGGGAGCGGTAGCAAGCTATGATGGAAAAATAGGCTATGATGTGCTTGCTTAATTGATCAGTCTAGTTTGGTTGGAGTCCAATAATCCAACATGCTAAAGAAAGTATTACCTACTTGTTCTCTTGGAGCTCGATCACGCTTTACATAGCGAGGTAAGGTAACTTGATTGATCAGCCAGTTTGATAAACATTGCATTATTTGCATGCTCCCAGAGCATTTGCTTGTTGGGTTTGTTATGCTTATGCAGCTTTAGGCGGAAAATGATCAGATATACAGTTTAAAAATACCGGTCCATATTTTCGTGCTCACAAGTGTGGACTTTTATAACCAAGTGAATCAGAGTGCTACCCGCAACTGGCTGTCGTTACCACACAAAGCGCCAATAGGTTCAAAGCTAGACAAGTGTTTCTAGCGCTATGTGTGGAGGCCGCCGCACCCTGTGACTCTAATCCTGCATTCCACAGGAAAGCCGCTATATTTCATGGAGCTCGCCATGGGCCAGTTCTCGTCGTACGGCTGCGTCCGAGTTTGGAACGTGGTGCCGGCCGCCAGAGGTAGGTACAGGTAGGCTGTGCCGCAATGCACCAGCCGCCGCCTGGGTGCGTAGGCTGTCCCACACAGCCTCGCGGTCCCAGGGGATCGTCTGAGAATGGCTCAGCAGTCAGTCTCAGACAAAGCCAAAAGTGAGACTGCTAAAACGATTCGCTTATGTTTTTGCTACCCGTTACCCGAAACTGATGGACCTTCAGGTTTATATAGCAGCTTGTTGGTAACCCATCTCAAATAGTTCTCCAACGCACCTCGTAAGACACTCCGACGCATAGTTCAGGCGACCCACCAGCACGCCATCAGTTCGTGCCGCTGCCGCCAGGTGTCGGGTACGGCCAGATGATTGGCACCGCCTCCGTCGTCTCCTATTACGTGGCGCTGATGGCGCTCACCGTGTTCTACTTCTTCGCGTCGTTCTCGGCGGTGCTGCCGTGGACCTACTGCGACCCGAGCTGGGCCGACATGAGCCACTGCGTCGACCCGACCACCAACATCTCGGAGCTGAACCACACGCACGGAGATGACAGCCTGATCGGATCCACCGAGATGTACTTCATGTGAGTGATCCGATGGGTGTTTGAGACGTGGTAAGAGCAGAAGCAATAGGGGAGTGGAGACTTGAAGCAAGTATTAGGAGATTAACTGATGTGTTTAATGAATTGCGGTAGAAGAGGGGACAGACAAGTAGTCGACAGCATCCACAATTGTGGATTTTGGTGTTAATTTTCCGGAGGCAATTAATGAAAAGACAGCATTAATTTGAATATGAAAGTCAGATGAACTGCAACAGTGCTAAAAAAAAAAACAACTAGCAATGCACGATAGACCAGGCTACCCCGAATACTCCCCGGTAGCTTTCACGACACCATCTAAATTCATAACCCTTCCTATGCCACAGGAGGAACGTGTTAAAGGAGCTACCCAACATCGACGACGGTATCGGGGCGCCCGAGTGGCGACTGACGCTCTGTCTGGCCTTCTCGTGGATCGTGCTGTTCCTGACGCTGGTGAAGGGTGTCCAGAGCTCCGGCAAGGTGGCCTACTTTACAGGTAAGCGGCGCCTGCTTCACCGGTAAGCGGCGTACTGAGCTGAGAGGGCGTTCGGCAGAACTGGGCGGGACGGGAATAGTGATAGGAGTCTCGGGGCAATGACTGGTGTTAGAAAAAAGGAGTAGACGAGCCAGACCAACGAGGAAGGGAGCTAAATCACGTCGCATAGAATAGGTATACAGTATGTATAGGAAAGGAAATATCAAAGATCAGGCTAACAAGCGAGAGCCATAAACCTTTCCGACGTTGCCTCTTCGACCTCCTCTTCGACGGTGCATCACTGTACGACTGACGGCACCCCACGCACCGCCCTGCAGCGCTGTTCCCGTACGTGGTTCTGATCACCCTGCTGGTGCGTGGGCTGACGCTACCCGGCGCCATGGATGGGGTGCTCTTCTACCTGGAGCCGCAGTGGCACGAGCTGCTCAACCCAAAGGTCAGTCGCAGTGAGTTGGTTGTCTGGCAGATCTTAATAATTCAGAACATAACTCATAAAACCGATAAGATCTGAAAATAAAACGTTTTTTTTCATTTCTGCTATGAGTACCTAGAACAAAATGTCAGCACAAACAAAAAGCGTGACTTCAACGATAGACTGTAAGTAACGGACTTAATAAAACATAAAAGGTCCCGACGTTAACCTCCTGGTGATAAAAGTGCAGCCTTTACACTTTTTTACTTAAGCGCCACTCGACATCATCCCAGTATGGACATTGGTCACACCACCTGACCACCATCCTCCATTTCCATATCGACCTTACTGACCGTGCCGAACACCTGACCGTTCATAGGTGTGGTACGCGGCGGTGACGCAATGTTTCTTCTCACTCTCCACCGGCTTCGGAGCGCTCATCATGTTTTCCAGCTACAACGGCTTCAAACACCCCGTCGCCAGGTGGGAGAGCGTGGCGGAGTGGGCCTGACGTCAGCTAATAAAACAGGATAACGAACGGAAAAGAAATATATCGTGGAGTCAAGATCATGCATTTCCTTATTTATTCAGGTTGATTCGTTATCCGAGCACGCTTCATTCACGGCTGCTCAGCTCAACGCTCATTGCTGAACTCTTGGCAGCGAGTCTTGCGGTGCAGTATAACTTCAGGCGTTCACTACTACCGCCATCTAGTGACAGTCGATTGAATCACAACTGCATACGCGCTCCGCCGTCCGGACCACTGCACTAAAATGCCGGTTTTCTCCAAATGCTAATGAAACAAACTACGAATTTCTCGCTTTTCCTTCCTCAGAGACGCCACCATCATCAGTATCACGGACATGCTGACCTCCTTCCTGGCGGGCTTCACCATTTTCGCCATCCTGGGTAACCTGGCCCACGAGCTGGACACCACGGTTGACCAGGTCATCAAGGGCGGCGGCACGTCACTGGCCTTCATCTCGTACCCGCAGGCGCTGGCCAACTTCCACACACTTCCACAGGTCAGATCATGTGTAGACCTCCATATCCAGAGAATTGTCCCCTTGTCGATACAGAGATGTTTGCCGTATGATGTCATAACTGTAAAGTCATAGGCTCTGTGGCGAGCCGACCGGGTGGACGGACAGTATGCTGCAAATTGAAATATGCGGTGCATTTAGCCAGGAAAGCAAAGTAAGAACCTGCTTTTAAATTAATGCATTGGACACGACACAGCCACTGGCACTGTCAAGGCTAATGTTATCTTTGGACTGCTCCACAGGACGTAACCAAAGTTGCTTTGCGGCGCATTTTCATGACAACGATTAGCTTCCGCACACATGCAGGCCATCTGCCGACTGCCACACCTGTTCTGTTCTGTTCACATTTGTTTGCGGTGCTGTTCTTCCTGATGCTGTTCATGCTGGGCGCCACGGCTCTGATGGGCTGTTCTGTTCACAGTTGTTTGCGGTGCTGTTCTTCCTGATGCTGTTCACGCTGGGCGTGGGCTCGGCCACAGCTCTGACCGGCTGTATCATCACTGTCGTGTGTGACAACTTCCCCAACTGGGCGCGCTGGAAGGTCTCCGCCGGCATCTGCATTGCCGGCTTCCTCATCGGACTCATCTACGTCACACCGGTCAGTGCGCGTGACGCCGCAGGCCAGTCGCTATTATTCAATATTCATGCATCAGTTACTATTTGAGCTCATTGAAGTCAGGACTTCTCTGATATTGTAGCAGGTCATTATCGACTGATTCAACAGAACGAGAAACCTATCCAACATTTACGGGGCGTTCCAAGCTCGTATTTCTTCCTTCCCACACATGTCCACTTTGTCCAGGCATAGACCACCACATATCGCCAAGGTTTTCTACTCAACTCTCCGAATTCTCTCTCACCTGACTTCAACCCAACTCCCATCCACAGGGCGGTCAGTTCCTGCTGAACCTGGTGGACTACTTCGGCGGCGGATTCATCATCTTCGTGCTGGCCACGCTGGAGACGATCGCCATACACTGGGTGTACGGCATCAACCGCTTCTGTGACGACATTCAGTTCATGATCGGCCAGCGGCCCAACATCTACTGGCGCTTCTGCTGGGCCGTCTTCATCCCCATCTCACTGATCGCCATCTTCATCTACTCGCTGGTCAAGATGGAGCCGCTGCTGTACGGAGATGTCGGGTACCCGGACATCGCCATCAGTGAGTGTTCAAACTTAAAAGGACACCCACCTGCTCTGAGGGCTGTTTTTTTCATTTGCGATGTTGCTATGTTCCTCCAATATGGTGGCTTATTTTAGAAAAAAATGAGTGCCAACATCAATTCCACAGGTCTCGATTATTTTAATGGCTGATGACGATTTATCATGGACACCAATGACAATGGCAAATACTTGCTCCGTACGATCTTCTCAGGCAATCTGCCTTCATGTTCTGACGCGTATTCCGCCGTCCCATGTCCGTTCCTCCACAGACTGCGGCTGGGTGCTGACTGGCTGCGCGCTGGTCCCGCTGCCCGTCTGCTTCATCCACGCCATCTACGAGAGCCCCCACAGCGGCCTGATGAACGTGAGTGACACATAACAGCGCACTCGGCGACCGGGGCCGGGGGTAATGGGAAGCTCGTACTGCATGGGTTAAAGGCAGTGCAGTGCAGCGCAGTGTTTAGGTTGATCAGCGATATGTTTGATATTGAGGAATGGAGAATGTTCATAGAAGACCAGCAAGCAAATATAGCATATATAGAACCGATTCAATTGCCTAGGCTTCATTATCTATTTATCTCTATGGGCACAAGAGATCATTCTGAGCGACAGAGCTTGCATGCCACCAAGACCAACAATCATAAGTCATAACCAAACAAAATGCCCTATCTCACTGAACCGATTCCCATCTGACGCCCTGTTCTCTTCCGTCCACAGAAGATCCGCCACTCGTTCCAGCCGAACCGGCAGTGGGGCCCGATGAGGTCGCTGGACCGCGAGGCGTGGCTCATCCACACGGGCCAGGAGGAGCGACTGCACGGCACACAGGCCAACCTAAACGCCGCGTTCGCCGCCAGTACGGCTGAGCTGGACACGGCAGGAGGAGGGGACGCCCCAGCTGAGCCTGAGACCCGTACACAGCTGTAGGGTCAATCAGCAGAGAGATTGCGGAGGTGCGGTGTATACGACGGCTGGTGGAGCGGTTAGGAGGGTAAAAGAAAGAGATTTGGAAGAGAGAGAGAGAGAGAGAGAGAGAGAGAGAGAGAGAGAGAGAGAGAGAGAGAGAGAGAGAGAGAGAGAGAGAGAGAGAGAGAGAGAGAGAGAGAGAGAGAGAGAGAGAGAGAGACCCACAAGTATGTGCTGTGCGATGAGCAGGATTATTGCGGGATATGGAAGAGCCCCGATCGAGTGAGTATGTCCCAGTCGCTGCGGAGACGGAAGTGTTTCCTATTTAAACTACATCCCCACCCACATGGAGGGATGTAGTTACGACGTGTACCGATGAGAGATTCGGTGTGATACACTGTGGTCAAGATAGTGAGGTGGGTGTGTGTCTTCGGTAACGCGGGTCAGACATGGCATCTGATATCTGAGGAACGTATAATGAACTGAAGTGGGCATTAGCTACCAATTAGCACAACAATCCAGCAATAATTGTGTTGACTCATCCGAGAAAGTTGAAATGCACGAGCTGGCTACCCACGACAAACGTTGTGATAGGGACAAAAGGCGAACTATACTCTGTTCCGTTTCAAGCTTGCAGCCGAAGTGCCCTGCTGAAAGCAGGGCGTGATTTCTGTATATACAGCTCTTACATTTTAAGACACAAATTCTTGAGCGGAGGAGCAATCTGCCGAAGAAACTCCGACTGCAAGCTTGATATGGAACAGACTATATAGCATCTACAAATTTTATAGCATCTACAAATTTAGACATCTTTGGGTTGTAGGAACTCCGTGAATCATAATGATATCCCGTGGGACCAACTACGCAAAAAGTAATTTAATTAAGAACAACTTTAAAATGTATTCCGTCCAAGAATCCTGTCCATATTTCATGACTGTCTTGCATGATTGATCGCTTATGATTGTCGCCATTTGCATGAGAAGTGTCAGATTGTAGCACGTTGGATAGACATCTCACTGCGGCTAGGTAAACTAACGAAACTAAAGGCGTACTGAGAAAGGAGATGGGCGAAAGTTTTAGCTTAGATCGAGTGATTGAGCATTTGAACAAGGCATTGTACCATGGTATCACGTATCACGATGTGCCGAGTGTCTGACACGATGCATCGAGTTTCTTATTATGTATCTTGGTCTGACACGACCAGACCAGGCCAATGGACTTCTTTGAATAGTTTTAAGCGTGCATTTTATGTAGTAACGGTGTAACGCTGTAATTTATTAAGTAACACTGATTTGAAAACCGACAGAAACCGAATATTCTGCGGTTCCCATTTACGAGCAATTTGTGTGTGTATTACCCGTACGAGGAAGCTGGTTAAATGTACGTACGAGCATCAGGCCTTATGTGAAGTCGTGAGTAGCGCGAACACAGTAGGTATGGCAGCAGTGATTGTCTTTTGTTATGTGGCTTCCTTGATTATGCATCTATGCTGTCATGTGGAAACTTGAGGACGCACAATGGCGGTAACATACGATAATTGTGAATATATGGATGTCCAATTACATGAATACATACTACATATGTAACAAGTAACTAGTGTAGTTTAGCACTAATTTTGTTCCTCTTACGAAACCAATTTCTAACCGGTAGAAAGCGTACACTAGATGCATGGCAGTGGGTAGTGTTAAGCCAGTAAATTTGCCCATCCAAGGCAGGGATAAGATTGACACTCGACAAGGTTTATACGGCAGAAACCCTTTTGATCACCTTATATTTTTGGTATACGAGCACGTGTTTCAGATGAGAAATCCAAAACAATAACAACACACTTTTCAGCAGTCTCACTCGCTCACATGCATACGGTCTGCAGCTGCATGAAAGCTCGCCGCAGCGAATCACATTTCTCTCTCATCCATCTACCCTGGAACTTCCTCTCCCAACATCAATCACAATCAGGGCTTTGACGCACTGCAGGGAAGCGGTCTCTTTGACTTTGATGGCCGGTCAGCCGAGGTAAACTCCTTAACCCGCGCCCTGCTGGGGGTCCTGGATTTCCACGCCCTGCTGGGGGGGGGGGGGTGTTCAAACACCCCCCCCCCCTTCTAACTCGGCTCCTGGGCCACGTAGCGATACGCAGAAGGCGGCGTTCGAAAGAGCGTAAAAAATAATGACGAAATCACTTCGGTCAATTTTTTGGTCAGGTCAAAGGTCAGGTCACCAGAGGTCATTGAAGGCAAAATTTCGCCGATTTCCAGGTCGAATGTCGACAATTTCCAAGAAGCCAACGCATAACTCGGGAACCAATAGAGCTACAGCGCTGCGGAAAAGCGCATTCGATAGCCCTATTAACGCTCTTTCTGAGTAATTCTCTCAGATTTGACCTAGCGTCAACGGTTTTGCCTGCAGGGGGTAAAAACTGCAAAAATAGCCGATTTTTTCGGAAACAGTTTTTCTGCAATAACTTTTGACCCAAACCTTGTACGAGCTTACTTTTACCGGCATCGTGTTCCTCTCGTCAAGACGCATCGAATGAACTATAACTTGACCTTGAAAGGTCAACTTGAAAATTTGACCTCAGGTCAAGGTCATGACCTGACCGGAAAGGGTCATGTTGCATATCAGTCGATCCGTATCGTCCAGCTGAACACATCTAAGGCGTTTTCATCGCTCTAGCATGCCTCTATCAAAAGTTATTTGCGAAAAACTGCTAGATACCATTCGTGACCTAAGATGACCTCAGGGGCATAACCAGGGGTCACGGACACCATTTTCATGTTCAGTGTGTCTAAACCACTTGTAATTCAGTGTTTGGGAGTGTTTATAATGCTTTTCGTCCAAAAGAGGCGCATTTCAATTTTCTCCCATTGACTTATAATGGGGAGGTCGCAAAATTGACCTGACCTTAGGTCATCGATATCAAAATTCTGAGATATACATTTTGTACATGCTATTGTTCTTAGTAATCGCTGAAAGTTTCAAAGCGATCGGTCACTCGGTGTAGCTATGGCAGACATTGAAACTTATTATGAGGTGAGGTCACTTCAAGTGACCTGGTGACCTGACCTTGAATGACCTTGGTCTGAAATTTTCACAACATGTGTAGAATTGATGTATGATAAGGTGTACCAAAAACGGCGGCGCGGAGCGCCGCCGTTTTTGAGATATCCGCGAAAAACCACAGGGGGGGTGTTCAAACACCCCCCCCCCCAGCAGGGCGCGGGTTAACATACATCAGGATGATCTAGCCCGACTGAACTTGGGATCACATGGCATGACTAGACAAGAAAGCCAATTATCCCAGCAGGCTATCGAAACAAACCGTTTTAGATATCTAAGGAGTCGGCTACCAACTAAGTGTCAGCAAGACGGGATGATACCATGGTGTTGAACGTCGGATGTCTGTTGTGAAATTTACCTACGAAAATGACGAAAACCTGCAGCTTGTCGTAAACTACTCTAAATAAGTTAGGAACCCGCGCCAGAGGTGGTGCATCATGATATAAAATGTAGCTTAGTAGTCATAAAGCTACCGAAACAAATCCCTAACCAACGGTGCAAAAATGGCTTTTCCTGCATTTGATATGGCAATGCAAATTCACCTAAGCGACACTTTTGAACAAATTGCACATGACATTCATGCCACCACACTGATCCAAACAAAGTCAATTCTTCAGCGCGAAAATCTCGAAGCATGCATCCATCCTACCCGGTCAGGTACTCGCCTTGGCCAAATTATTGCAGCGTTATCTAACTCCAGTCGACTGTCAGCCTGTCTCCAAATCACCTTATCGTCCATATAGCGACTGGACCTTTCCAAATAGTGACTGTGAAGATTACTCTTACACATCCAGGGCTCACTAAAACGTGTGCATCCGATCGAGTCTCCTATTGCGGGAATCCGTCCTTTTCCACTGATCATAACGAGGCACCAAATGCTGCGACTTGTGGGAACCTTCATAATGCCCCTTACACCCGAGTTATTGGCAAAAAGCTCTCGCATGTCGATGTGTCACTTGGCTGATTCGCATTGTTTTTTTTTTCACACAAAATTGCGCCAAAGTTAGCTCCGCCGACGGAGCTGGCAAAACAAAAACACCAACCATTCCGACACACATTATCACAGTCGAGATCAAGTCTAGCGCTCTAACTACGTCTAACTACGCGTCTGAGCTCTGCACGGAGGCTGAAGCCGCTGCTACTGTGGAGGCGCCCAGGGCAGAAGCAGCGGAGGGGGCTGAGTTTTCAGCGGCCGAGGGATCTCCCTCCCTGTTCCCCACCCACCGTCCGGCGACGATGCTCAGGAACAGCAGCAGGCCCACGTACCGGTTGGAGCGAAACTTGTCCCCGCAGTCGGCGGCGTCGTATATCCGCAACGTCCGCACCTGTGAATGTATCGGACGTAGCAGATTACCGGTCGGCGTCAAAGCAAAAAAGTCGCTTAAAAGCTTTCGATTTATGCAATATACGTGTATCTCAAAAAATCAAAATGGAAATATCCGAATAATTTTGCGTAAGACATCACCATTAAAAAATAATGACCACATCCCTCCTCACGATTCACATCGATCACAAGACATCGAGAAAATCACCCCATTGATGCACACACGTCACACATGCATACCAATGTGCACGCAGTCACTGTCGCTATTACAGTCTCCCATCACACTCCATCGTCCCAACGGCCACCCACCTGATTTCCAACATGCAGACCGACTGCACCGAGCCCCAGGTAGTAAGGCCAGCTCTGTCCCGCCGCCACACCGGCAGCCACCAGGCTTGTCATCATTGCAGCAGAGAACCCTGCCAGCCAGCGCGGCGTGGCGTCCCCGAACCGGAGCGCGGTCGACTTCATACCCAGCGCCAGGTCGTCCGCCTTGTCCTGTGGACGTCAGAGAGGAGCGACTGAGATGCTGCTACTGTTGGATGGTGGTTTGGTAGAAAGAAGTCGGTTCGACTAAATGTGCGGCTTCGGTAGAAAACGGAGCCGTAAGTAAATGCACTTGTTAACTGTTTCGAATCGCTTACTTTGCTATGTTACTCAATCGTCTGCTACCATTTTCCGATATCACGTCGGAACCACTGATATCACATGGGCACCCACTAAATCGGAACATAACAAACTGCTTTTCCTAATAAACTGCTAAGAAGATTCGTCTTGCATGACGACTGCCTTATCCGGCTAGCGCCAGTTCTCACCTGATGTGCGTAGATGGTATCATAGACGATCGTCCAGCACACACCCGCAGCATACAGGGGCAGCGCGGCGGGCCAGTCCACGGCCCCCTGCGCGGACGCCCATGCCATCAGCACTCCCCAGTTGAAGGTGAGCCCGAGCACCAGCTGCGGCCAGTGCGTCACGCGCTTCATCAGCGGGTACAGCAGCACCAGCGATAGGGAGGAGACGCCCAGCAGAATGGTGGGCCAGTTGAGTTGGAGGAGCAGCAGCGCGCCCACCGACAGCTGGGCCGAGAGGAACACGAGCGCGTCTAGAACTGATACCCGGCCGCTGGTGATGGGTCGGCTCCGCGTCCGCTCCACCTGGGGGAGGGGGTTGAGGTCAGAGGACGAGCTGGGAAAGGTGGGAGGTGCTGAGTTACTGTATTACGGTGACCCAGTGTTTTCATCGCCTCGGCTTCAAAGATCAGATGCAACCAAAAATAATCACCAGGGACGATGCATCGTCGCCCTCGTTAACTCCGGGCATTCCAAACTCTTGGGAATCATAATGCGCTAGTCGAATTCTTCGTGAAAATTTGATAACCAACTTGCTGAAATATTGAAAACAAGTCCATCCTGAAGCGTTTTAAAAGTTATTGTACGAAGGAAAACATCGATATTTTTAACATCACTCTGCAGTCCGCAGCTGTCACTATGAGAAGCAGCGATACAAATAACAAGAAGGTGCATATAGCCATACAGATACCCAGATCGATGTAACTGAATAGACGAATGAACGGCCCACGTACCTTGCTGTCAATGTCCCTGTCCCACATGTCGTTGATGGTGCAGCCGGCGCCGCGCATGACAAACGCACCAGCGGCGTACACGGCCAGGAGGGTGGGGTCGGGAAGGCAGCCGGCCGGCGCCGCCTGCGCCAGGCCCCAGCCGCACGGCCAGAACAGCAGCCACGAGCCTGGAATGAGGGGGGTCGACATAAGCTCACAGCAGTCAGTGTGGTCGGCCCAAACCCGCCAGCACAACTGTACCCCATGTCAGTGTACGATCCGTGAATCTCGTCAGACGGAATGCCCGTCAATTAGTCCTTTCCATCGGACGGAGTCAGACCTTACCCCCCATTATCGGCCGTATCCATCAGGGTTCATAGTCTGTACGCATCAATACCGCCCATAACCCCTAACACGTTAGGCACCCATCCCGTGACCTGCGTGACCTGCAATCGCAAGTACGGTTTGTGCTGCCATTTTTTTCTTTTCAAATTTAGTCCGAACCTTTTGATAGAAAGGATTCAAAAGGACAGAGCCACCGCTAAGCGAAGGTTGTTGCGGTGACCCTGCACTCTACCCTCCGATCGCGCATTTCCAGTTATATAGCAGAATTTAGAGTCCAAAATTTAACGTGCGCATATAGCCGCGCACGGCCAATCCCCTCACTGATTTCGCCTGGCTACGGCCTGCCATTAACCACAACCATACCTGTCAGGAGGCCCATAAATGTCAAGCACCGGTCGCGCTTCGAACCCGGACTATTATAACCTGGAACGCGTGCTCTCACCACGCGGAGTGCGGACTGTGGAGTACCATTTGTTTGTTTGTTAATTGTGGCTTTAGGGCGCGCCGACTGCTAAGGTCATTTTGGGCCCACTGACCAATGTAAACATGTGCGGAGTCCAACGCTCACCAACTGAGCTACGGGACCGACACTGAGCTAGGACCGACACGACCCGACGCTGCGGGAGGTCTTCGCTGACCCGTGCCAGGTTATCGAGTTCCTGCGGCACCTGGGCCGACTATAGAGCGCCCACGGCGCTGGACACTCTGGCGGGGTGGCCGGTGCTGGTTTTCCCGGCCCTACCCGGCGTCTGAGCCCGCCGGAACTCGTCTGGGGGCCTGCTGCCCTCCCTGCGCAGTGCGCGGACGTCGCAAGTGTCGCCCCCGAGGGGGCTGGGGCCCCCCATGTGGGCCCACCGGCCGGAACGCCAACAACAACAACAACAACACTGAGCTACTGGACCGGCCATTAGGACCGATAGGTACCAATTATCGGGACTCAACAGTACAATAACCATGCTCACCTATTGGTCTGTCAACTCTCATCAGCTGCAGGTATGGCTGTACAGCTGTCGGGCAGGAGGCCACTAGCCTCTGGGCCGGAGCCAGGACACTCCTAGAGTTGGGCAGTAGCTCGTCTTGGCTCGGCCGGCTGGGGTGAGCTGCAGATCCCAGCAGACCAACAGAGGAGCTGAGAAGGCGAGGCGATGGGTCGTGTAGATGTGGAAGTGAGCCCAGACGTCCAGCTAACCGCCTTGGTCCACAAAGCTGACAACACGACAGCGGTGGACGGAGCCGCATTGACACCAAACGCCTCATGCTGCCCAACAGCATCTGAGAAAAAGTGGAGGGATGTTGTTAAAAAGAAGCCCAGACATATTATAAGCAAATGAAATAATAAACAGACTTTTAGCAAGCACTTGTGGTTGTGTACAAGTGACTTCTCACACTTCAACTTGGTGATAGCAGAGCAGAACCATAGTAATTTTGCAGTAGATCAAGCTGATGAACCCTGAAATAAGCACTCAAACTCATTAAGAAGGAACCCACCTAGACAGGAAGGTACCTAGGGCGGTACTACAGTTCAAGTTATATAACAATAATGATAATGCCAATCGTAGTAAATTGGTAGAAATATAAAACCAGTTCACATTTCTATCCCTATCTCCCAATCAATAAGCATGTGAAACAATGAGCTTACCATAGGAAAAATATCAGAAATTTACTAAGCAAGTTCACAATAATTTATGACATTCATCGAATCAACAGCAGATAAAAATGAAATTAACACACAAAAATACATGGCACCCAAATATACTGCATGCGCTGTTATTGTCCTAAAATCGCAAGCATTGTCTTCACAAAAGCCTAGCAAACAGCTGATAATTTCATCTGGTATACAATTGCATACTAGCAAAAGACGATTAATTTTAAAAAGATTTTCTTACGAGACAACTTACTGCCTCTTAGGAACACAAAAATTGTTTTAATATTTTTCGAATGTGTCGAATAGTTTTTTTGTACATTTACGTAAAAAGTTTGTGAGAACAATTTTCAACATAAAGTTATATACTAGCAAAATATGCCAAAAGATATGCCACTATACATACTAGACGTCTGTTTAGAACGGCGATGCCAGCTGGTGTCCGCGCTGTTGCTGGGTGATGGAGGGTATGTGGTGAAAGAGTAATTGAATTTTGGAATAATTATTTGGATGTGAGCGAATATATGCTGTGACCCAAACTGGGAATCCAGGGCGGAGAAGAACCTGCCACCGAGGAACTCCACGTCTCCAAGGTAATTACGAACACAGCAAAGCGTGTTTCTTTGTTCGCCACTGCGACTGGGAAATTGAAATGACAAACTGCTGAGTGTTTATCCCAAGCAAAGTCATGTCTGCGGACGATACCACATCCAGTCAGAAGGTGGACACCGCCAGTGTCGGTACGTCCTCCATCAACGCTCGCGATGTCAGTGGAAGCACAGCTAATCTTGTGCACAGTTCCAACTCAGTTCCGACAGACTATGACTATGGTGAATGGATAACTGGAATGGAAATGGAGGGCCGGATATCTCCAGCAAGAAGGTTCTTCTGCCTGCTAGTGACATTTGATGTGCTCTTGTGCTGTATCTTCTGGTTGGTCTGTGTAGTTTTAAGTGGGAAGAATGTGTTTGCCGAACTTGAGGACCAGGTCGTGCACTATTCTGTTGAGACATCTCTGTTTGATGTGGTCTCAGCAGCGTTCATCCGCTTCATGCTTCTGATCGTGGTGTATGTGATCATAAGGATGGACCACTGGTGGATGATAGCCCTCACCACAGCTGCCTCATGTATTGCAACTCTATTCAAGATTCTGTATTATCAGTGGCAGTCTGCTTCAGCATCAAATACTTTCCAAGTGACACTTATAGTGTCATTCTTCATCTTAGCATGGCTGGAAGTCTGGCTGTACGATCACAGAGTGATACCTCAGGAGACAAGAGCAAGGCTGATGCTACAGAGGAGAGCTGGCTACACCAACCAGAGGACACCACTGGTGGGTCACCAGCACCAGCGCGTCAGGGACTACCTGTCGACATGCACGGGCAGCGTGTCCAACTTCTACTCGCCGATGGGCTCGCCGCAGGGCTCGGATGATGAGGACGAGGAGGGCGCCGGGCCGCGCTCCCGGCTGAGTGAGGAGGACCGCGCGCTGCGGCAGCAGGCGGAGGAGAACTGCCGGCGCGCGCTGGACCTGCTCAACTCCTCCGACTGGAAACAGGAGGAGGTGTTCGACGACGACGACATCCTCTTCTCGCGCCGCGTCGGCTCGCACACGCTCTTCATGTTCACGTGCACGGTGGCATGCCCGACGGAGACGTTCGCCAACGAGCTGATCCACAACTGCGACCACTGTCCCGAGTGGAACGGCTCGCTGACCTCGTGCCGCCAGCTGCAGCGCATCGACGGGCAGTGCGAGGTGCGCTACCAGCAGACGGGACCGTTCCTGGGCGGCATGGTGTCACCCCGCGACTTCATCAACCTGCGCCTGGCCGGCCGCAAGGGACTCATGTTCTTCAGCTCGGTGGTGTCGATAGCGCACCGCGACGACCCGCGGCCCTCGGACATGGTGCGCGCAGTGAACCGACCGACCATCATCACCATCCGGCCCTGCGTGCGCCGGCCGCGCCACTGCGTCGTCGAGTGGCTGATGAACTTTGACTGTCGCGTGGGCATGGTGCCGCGCCGGATGACCGACCGAGGCACGCGCCAGGCGGCCCGCAGCCTGCACTCGTACCTCCGGCAGCTGGGCCGTCGGCTGGCCGCCGCCGAGGTGTGAGAGGAGCCTGCTGAAGTGTAGGGTGCTGTAGGTGAAGTATGAGACTGTCACTGAAGTGCAAGGCGTGATCGCCGAAAAGTGAGCCACCACCAAGGTATGAGGTGCCCATGGGATGCGAGACGTCGACACCGAAGTGGGAGGCGCTGTTGCCGTGGCGTGAGGTGCCGCCGCAGGCCTGGGTGCGTTATACTTCTCAGTGGTCACCAGTTTGGCTTCAGTTACAGATTGTGCTGTGGGTCGGCCGCTGCTCGCCGGTAAGCGCTCGCGGCTATCTCGGGGTCGTGTCAGAGGCTGCTGGTTCTTGTTGGATCATTTGCTGACGTAGGTTTGTGACCGGTTTTTTTCTGGAGACCTCGCTCGATGTGACGGCGGCAGACCAAGAGCCAGACGTGGTTTGGGGTTGTCGATGGATGAGTACCTGATAGCTATCCAGACGGTCGGGTCAGTATCAAGGATGTCGGCTCGAAGAGCAGTGTTCATTCCTGAAAGAGGCTTCCTAGTTTTTGAAACGTTTGGCGCCTTCCATGGCGATTGACTAGATATTGAACGGTGTCTGATACTGTGATTTGAACATGCTTTCAGGTCAATGAGAATATCAGTTTGGCCGCCAAACCTCGAGTTAACTAGACGTGTATAGCTGGAGCATGACATGTATTTGTATATGACCTTACTCGGCATACCGATTTATTTATCTTATATGCTACGACGTGTTTTCTTAGCATTGTTTGGTAACTGTACATTTTGTGTTGCCTTGCACTGACATTATACGCTCATGAATATACCAATCAATCTTGCCACTTTGCTCTACGACTGTGGTCGCTAATCGGTAGATAGGTTAGGTAAGGTTAGTAGTTACGTAATCTCAGTTGTCTGTGTAGCTAAAGGGTGGCAGTGTTAGGCCAAGTATATCGCTCATCGCACCTAATTATATTAGTAATTTCCTCACCGGACTATTGCGATTATCGGTGTGACACGTGAGGACACGGCCCGTGGTAAAATCGTTACCACACTCCCAGAGCGACATGGATATACCCAGCTCCCAGTTCAAAGTGCACGCGGTTCGTGCCACCGACTATAAACAAGTGGCCCTCCGCAGACAGATGGCTGGCCGAGTCGTGTGTCGTGTCGCTAGGCCGGCCCGAGCTAGATATATCGGGATAGAATGGCTGTGAAGTGGGTGTGCTCGTGACTCGATGAATAGCTACTATCGTGAAGTCAAACTTGTTAGTTTCGTACTGATTTCAATCAGCTTTGTCGAGTGATGATCTGCCACGGTAGGAAGCTAATGTTTCGAGTGCGAGTCACGAATTTGCTACCGTTCCGTCCAGATCTGCTGTTCTGAACACTATTGTGTCTTGTCTATCCTCTTTATCAGGTGCCATCCGTCCTGGACTCCTGACGCATGAATCGTGTAAACCGGCCGAAAGATGTTCGACTTAATCCACACTCGAATCGCGTAAAAAAAAGTTATGGTGAAGCTCAGGCAGCTTGGGAAGTCTCAGTTCATTTCTTTAGCTAATAACGCCCCAATTCAGGTGTGGCCTGCCACAGCTGTTCGTGTTTCTGCTCTGCGAGCGGAGTGTTCAGTCTATTATATCCGACTTTCCCGACAGACAATTCGCTACAGAGCTGGTTTCCATCTTACCTCGGTATCCAGATAAGGTTACTTGGACTTCTAGTGTTTACTAGGCTTGTAGCGCACTTCCGTGTTTTGTTTTTCTTGTAAAGCATATCTTAAAACGGGCAAATCCGAACCACTTGTCCATTTGTCGTCTGGGCTGAAGCGCATATCCAGGGTGATAATGGTCATGAAGCTCTATAAAGTATAAGCTTGGTAACTTGGTTATGGTATCTGTCGTATTGCGTTTGAAGGTTGACTTCCCTGCTCATTGCTCAATGCCCATAGCTGTACTGGCCGGTTCGTCATCCACCGTGGACTGTTGAGTCGTTTCTCACTCACAGCAGGCTTCTGTCACGGACGGCTGTCGCGACTGGATTTGGCCGGCTGGCTCTGTGTGCCGTGGGTCTGACGCGGGAGGGCTGGGGAGTCGGGGAGGGGGTCTGAAGGACGAGAGGCGAGTACCAGGGGCTCGCCTTGGGTCGTAATTCCTTATCAGAGCCTGCTTAGTGCTTACATTTGGTTTGTGTAGCGTATCATGCGTTTTACTGCATGCAAGGGGCGCTATCGCGTCGTAGTAAGTTAATTATCGGTATGATATTCGGCCTCCATTCGTTAACATACTCACGAGGTAACAAAAGTTCAGCCCTCCTGGCCTTCCCTTTAAAATGCATTTTTTGTCCGATAGGCCCTATGGATAGCCACTGCGTTCATCAAACACTGTCCACTTTTTCAGGCGGCCTTGGATACGTCATCGATCATATTTGGAGCGGAAATCTGACTGATAGAGACATAACCTCAGAATTGAACTCAATGATTACAACTTTATCAGGCAAGCATTAACCAATAACCAAATATTGGACCAGCTGTGCTGATCTGAGAATGAGCGTCGGGTTGCATATAAGGCACGCAATACAAGTGTTCCCGGCCACGCTGCACAGATACTCACAAATGGCATGATGAGGCGATTTTTGGTCGATAGGGACGTCAACCGTTGAAGTCTATACGTATACCACTGCGGGAGCGAAGTGGTCGATATCTTCCACCTTTCCAACCCTCAGTGTCCCAGTCTACACACCGGTCTTGACTTACAGAAAAACTCGTCCAACCTAAACCAGTGTGGCATAGCTGTCCTGCTCTCAGGTAGGTAGGTAGGTACTGTCAACGATATAAAAGACATGTAACTATAGCACGTTGTAGGTATCTGTTGCCTAAATATGTGGACAATTCGTGGATGAGGCGACACAACAGACATGAACATTGAACACATAGGCCAATCTCTTGTGGCACCGAGGGCTCTAAGCTTCCTCATTTGACGCCTGGACAGTGTCCGAGCTCACCCCGTGAGTGTTTTTAGTGTTAGGTACGCGTCGAGACGTTCCAGACTCTGTATCATCTGACTGCGGCCAGACCTATTATGTG